AATTTAATTTTTTAATCAATTTTAAAAAAAGTTTTCGCATTAAACCTTTCCAAACTCAATATTTGATTTATCGCAGCTGATACCCAAATTTTATCATTTATTTTAAAAAAGTGGCTTACCATAAGCTTTCTAGACCGTGAGCTTTATAACTCCCCTCTATATTTATCCCCTCAATGTAATATTTCATTTAACTTATTAATTTAATTGTTTAGAATTTTCAAACATTTCCATTAAGCTTTCTAAGTCTCGCTTCATTTTGATACCCATCTAATAACGTATAATGTATCTTTTTAATCTCAAATTAAAATTTGTAGACCGGTTTCTCACCTATTCTACAGATTCTCGTTAATATCGACTGTTTATGCATGCCGAGTTCTTTTTAACGGAATTCCTTCCTTGCTAAATCTGCTGCAATGAAGTTAAACCTAACAGTAACTATGCAAGTTTTAAAACTAAATTTGAAAAAATTTAAAACTTCTATACAAAGGCATATTAGTAGATATCAACATCCTTTTGCCGCAGTGGGAAACTCCTGGATGAGTCGCACAAAGCGTTAGCTAATGAGTTGGGAAGATTTTTCTGTTTTTTGAGGTAATTCGTTTTGTTTCTATTAAATTCAGGATTAACCAGTAGGATATAAAGGTATTTATGTATGGTTAATTTACGAACGTACCATGATGCGTCCGTTATTACCCTTGGAATTTTGGACTGGAACCTCTGTATTTTCTCTATATAATCAGGTGTACAACTTTGCTTCCGCCGTTTTTTCCAAAATTAAAAGCTTTATTGCGAAAAAGTGCTTACAGATATATTATTCAAAGTATTGTCCTTTGCTAGCCCCAACTTTCTCCCATCTTTCCGGCAATTTTCGGATCCCGGCTCTAAAAAAGGAGTCCTCTTTTGACGCTATCCATGAAGCAATCCATGTTGATCTGCCAGGCCGTGTGCCATCGAGTGGAATAGGTGGAAGTCAGAAGGGGCGACATCTGGGGAATACGGCGGATGGGGCAAGACTTCCCCATTCCAGCGTTTCCAGGTACTTTTTGACCACTTTTGCGACATGAGGCCGAGCATTGTCGTGTTGGATGATGACTTTGTCATGTCGCTCTTGATATTGTGGCCGCTTTTCTTTTAGCGCACGACTAAGGCGCATCAGTTGCGTTCGGTAGCAATCTCCTGTGAAGGTTTCACCCGGTTTTAAGAGCTCGTAGTAAATCACACCGAGCTGATCATCATCTTTGAAGGTTTTTTCTCTTCCACCACCATGTTTGATACTTTCACAGGTCTTACACTACAGTGGAATATGTAATATTTTGGCATCTATGTGTCTTTTCCAAGTGAGTTTAAGTGTATGCCGAGATATGTTACATAGTTTACTTGGGAAATAGTTGGAATATATTTGTAGAACATTTCTGTGGGCAAAATGTATCCCTAACGTGTCTTCAATTTCGATTATTGACTTTAGCTCATCAGTTTTCCAGCCATTCTTCTGTGAGAAGTAAATGGTGCCCAATCTTTTTCGATACTCTTTTAGGACATTTATCACGACATAATATGACCGTGTTTTCCGCGAAAGTGGATATTTGAACTTTTCGGTTTACTGGAATATCTGCAGTGTATACAATGTAATGCATAATATAAGCCCAAAAACGCTTTCTTGAGGAACAGCAGCACCAACTGGAAGCTGCTCAGTGATAGACTCTGTTTGTTTTACGGTAAACCGCCTGTCACAGTAAGAGTAAGTTTTATAAATTGTGTGTAATAGACCTCCATGCCAAGCAGCAATCGATTGCTTGTTCAACATCAAGAAATATCGTACTGCAATTCTCCGTGAACTCAAGGTTCTTTTTAATTTCATTCGTAATCCGGTTGAGTTGTGTTTTTTCACGAAAACGGATTTGGTGTTCGGGTTTCACTTTGATGCGATTAAGAAAAGAAGATATCTTAGATAGCAGAATTCTTTCAAATAATTAATTATTGAGCTGTAAGAAGACGTCTATGTGTGGTAATTTTCTGGTTTGCCTATCATTAATATCTGCGACCTTTTCGACGCATTGGAAAGTATCTTAGTTATTGCAACTCTTGGCAGCGCTCTTAGCATTTGTGGTATAATAAGGTCGTAGCCTTGAGATATCTTTGAGTCTGATTGCTTAGTCGCGTTTGCAACTTTCAGATTTAAGTATTAATCGTCACTTGAGATTCACAGCCGAACTCGTTTGATTTCGGCAACATAAAATTATTACCTTGTTCAAATGTTTTGCTAATATGCGCTCCTATGTGTCTTTCAGTCGAACATTTTGTAGCAGAATTTGGTGTCAGTTTTTCTATATATAATATGATTAAACATTAAGGTCATCTGCTGGTTTCAGCCCACATTTCAGTGTTTTCTCTGCTGATTTGAATCGTGACTTTGAGGCGGGAGAGCAATATGCTTGCCGTTCTCTCCGCAGCCGCAGGCGACGCTTTTTTAATACTAATCCTTCAATTTCAGCATTTGTTATAACTTTCTAAGCACTTTTTCTCTTTGGAGTTGCTAACGTTGCCAGACGATTATGTTGTTGAACTCATTAATATGTTTATCAATATCATTTTTATTGTTCAAAATTTATCTAATGATAATGTGAGTACTAATAAATTTGTTGCATTTGAGGTAGTTTGTTTCTATGCTTGTTAGTCTTGGCTTTTGGCCAACTCTCATCGGCTGCTCGCAAAATTTTTATAAAGACTGGTAAAGGCTCAGAAGATAGCAGCAGCAGTTACAGCTGATATAAATTATCAGACGATTTTTCGTGAAACAGCGAAGTCTATTAAGTCGGGTATTTTGCTCCGATCAGTATGCCAACATGTTGGTTGACCTGAAGAAATACAGTCTAGGGATTATTGAAATAGCTGGCTTTCTTTAGGTTCCAACAAACGTACATTCATTGCAATGTCCTCTGGCTAGTAGTCTATCCCCTAAGCTATCAGAAATTCCTTAAATTAGTTTTCTGTAATTTCAAACCTTGAAGGGCAGTAAATGATGAAGAGATTTAAATCCAAAATTATACAAAGCTACAGATGTATTGTAGCTATAGATAATTGGGGGCATATAGCTGTAGGATGCAGTAGTACCTCAGTACTGCCGTGCGCTGTAACATCGGGGTGGTTTGTAGGATATAATATGAATCCAGGTATATAAAAATTGTAGTTGTTAAAAATAGTGTTAATCCCAATTTATGTTGGTTATTATAATTTCCGTTCCCAAAAGTACGCTCAGTTTTTATTCATGAACACTTGTAACATCTATTGTTTTGAACCCTGCCGAATCAAAAAACTAAATCATTCTTGAGCCCACAGATCACGCACACAAACGCTAATCAAAATCGCTACTGCCATTTAGCTTAATTTCTATAGGCACACTCATAGAAGATGTTTATGTATTTGTTTGTATAAGCATCTATCCTCGCGTTCTCGTGAACACACCCACAACATTTCATCTAAATCAGATAAGGCGTTTAAGCTCTAGCGAAAATACAAATATTTTTATATTATATAAGAAGATTAGAAGTGTCACGCACGCTTTTCCGAATTCGGGAAAGCACAAGTCATTTGATGATGATTACGATATGTAAATTTGCCTGATGCTGCAGCTAACCAAAAACATAGCGACCCCGCTGTCCCATCCTATTTTAAGTGATTTAGTATTTTCCAAAAAAACTGACTCAGCTTATTGCTTGCTGTTATCCAAAGTTGCCAGATAGACTTTTATTTTCTTATTTGAATAAACTCAGAAAATGTACGCTTTTTTCGAAATTTATGAATTCTGAAATCGCAATTAATTAATTATGAAATTTATTCACGAAAATTATGAATTTGTTTAAAAGTCTGCAAGCATACCGACAATTGGGAACATTTTACTACTGCAAGCATCTCGATACACAAGTTATGCATATCCCTCCTCCAGTCGGTAGGCGGTACGGCTAGGAGATATTTAAAATGGCTAGTTTGGCTGTACATTTGGAAAGCAGGCAGTTCTTAGGTTGGAAAGTAAAAAATCAACCGATTACCAATTTGTATATTTTTTTCTTCGTATGGCGTGAATGGTTTGTGAGTTCAAAGTTGGCACATTTGAGATAATCACGATCTTAATTATTTGAAATTTTTTAATGCCTATAACTTTGTTTCATAGCTGATAGTAGTATTCGACAAATTCATTTCACTTTCATATTTGACTATGTATTCATCTTTTTTTTTGTTTTTGTTTACATTGCAAGTTTACCGCGTTCTACATATATGATACCTTCTTAACAATCCTTAGCACAATTAAAGAACTTGGCTCTTCATTTCCGCTTTCTGCATCAAGAATTATATGTTCTTTCTTAAGCATGTCTCTCGACGCCTCGCGTTGAAGGAGAGTAATGCTTGTTCTTGTTTAAACAAAAAAAAAAAAAACATGATACTTAGAACTTTATTCTAAATATTTTGATTGCACAATTTGAGAATTTATTTGGGGTTTATGGGCACAGACATTTATCAGTTCTCTCTTCACATTTTATTGTACATAGGAGTATTCTCATTTGTGTGTGTATACTCATGTACACACATACAAAATACACATCTGTAAACACTTGCTTATGCTAATACGTACTACAATCAAATGATTATGCCTAGAGTAATTTACCTAATATAATATAATTACACACTACACAATACTACAATACAATGCTCAAACAGCACGAATTCCTGATGTTTTCTTGCATGAAATTTAAAAAATAGAAAAAGTAAGTGTAAACAATCACGTCCGAATTTTCCAGAGAGGCCTGTTTTTCCAAAAGTTAATATGTATGGATTTAGTACAAATTAATTGATTGTGGGGAGAGAACCGATGGAAGTTTGCTGAAAAATAATTGATATTTGTGAATTCTGAAAAAAAAATGCATAAAAATTCCTAAATTAAAATTTGTGGATTAAATAAATTCACTTACATATGTGACATTATTAACTAAAACAATGAATGGAATAAAATGTCTTTAAAGATTTAATATTCTCTAAAATTTGTGCACATATATGTACATACTTCTATAATTTAGTAAGGATTATTATAATATATACAATACATGTTTAATTGCGTGATTATTACGTGAGTAAATAATTAAAAATATAAAATATATGATTCCAAGTGGTTTATGAACTAAAGAATATTTAAGCAAATATGTATGCATACTTGTACGCTTAACACACGACGAAATGGAATTTATGATAATTATAAACATCCACTTTGTTAGGGTTTCCATTTATTTGCTAAAAAATGCAGAAATTTTTATTTTCTTCAGAACAACTTAAAATAAAGTTAATGTAAAAACGATGAAAATAAGAAGTTCAATTTTAATACCCACGCCTTCAAAACAAACAAAAAAAAAAACGAAGCATTTAAATGGACGATTGTAGTGTAGAATAAGAGCATTCAAGTGGACAAGAAATAAATGAAAAATACAAAAACTTCTATGCAGAGAGATCTAAATTCTTACTTATACGCGTAATTCTTTAAATTAATTTTTAACTTTTAGATCGGAAAAGCTAGAGGCGAAACTTACGAGTAAATGCGTTCGTTTTCAGTAAAAGGTGTCGACGTATTTTGTAGTTAATTGCCAGTCGTAATCGATTCGGCACACCCCTGATGGCTCTCTGGTTGATTTCAATACATGAGAGAATGTCGACGCCATATTAAAGTGGTATAACCGCTGGGCGCAATATTACCAAGATTATTTACCAGATCTGGCTCAAATGAAAGCGGTAAAACAAGATATTAAACCTTTGCCAACAGAATATTCGAAAAAAAAAATTTTAGGAGAGGTTAAATAGTAAGTATTTAATTATTCATTCAGTCATTTCCTTGATCTCTGTGCATCTTCTCCAATTTCCGGCGTGTGTACCGCTGAACAGCTGATGCATTTTCACGAGGGGTTTCTCATGAAGAGTCAATAATTATTCTGAGGCGATTTAAAACATCCATATAAAATATGTATGTAAATTTAATTGGTACTTTATAGCTGCTTAAAAGATTTGCGGCCGAGCTTATTTAAATATTTGTGTGTATTTAAGATTTTTTTAGGTTTTCAAAGGCAGCTTCATCTCTTCTCATTATAGTCTCTATAAAGCCTCTTAGTTGATAAAAAAAAACATAGAGTAAACCATTATCTGATTTCTTTTATATAAAAAATAAAGCCAAAGTACCTCAATTTAGCAATCAATTGGGGTTTCCGGTTCCCAATTTTTGAGTGTTTCATTTCCACCACTCCCTCCATAACATCAATATTCTCTAATGTCAGCTACGAAATTTCCTTTCTAGTTCCTACAGGGTATTGACACGTTCTGCAAACTACCTCTTTTCTCTTGTAAGAAGCTTGAAATCCCTTTGCTTTCAGAGATCAGCAGCGCAAGTCGAGTACGAAACCGCTTGTGTATCTGTTATGATTTCAGCTCTTCGGTGTCGAATGTTCCCTGTATTTATTGACGGGATTCTTGGCTGCCCAGAATAGGATGCGAGAGGTTAGGGCTTAGTGTACACATCTCAGACGCATGAGTTTTTCCGGTAATAGCCAAGGGACTTGACGGATTTTTAACCATAACCATATTTTATGCCCCAACTGAATATTCTGAGCTTCTGACATCGGGGCATCGGCGCAAACCAGCAATGGGTTGAAGAACTTCGCTTACGGACTTTCCAGATGCGTGTCTTCCAAAACGTTTTCCGTGGTCGTCACTTAAAGCGGCGTCTCAGGTGCAAGGCGTTGTATGATTTTTATTTGAAACCGGGTACCAAGCCCATTGCATAACTTCGCCAGGCTAGGGATTCAGCCATAACCTTCATTCAAAACTCCCTGATTTCTATTCTAAATTGGATACAAGTTTTTTAACAGTAACTAATTTTTGCGGATTTACGCCAATATCTCCGATTGGTCTAACCATTTCACGATAATTTTTAATAATAAATATAATAAAAGGTAATAAATTGAAACACAGGTTTTGATATTTGTCATTCTGATTTTGCAAATTCTTGAATTTCAGAACGTGAAAGCATTTTCGTTTCTTGTCCTTTTTTAAGCAAGTGAAGGATTTCCAAAATATTTTCAAATTCGTTAGGTCGCACATGAGTCGAGTTATGCACACATTTTTATTTTTTTTAATCTTAGGAACAACTGTGCAGATATTTCCGAAATTCGAGTTTAGATTTATGATTTCACGGAATATTTTTATATACATGAAAATTTGATTAGAATTACAGACGCCAAGGACTTTGCATACTACCTTCTGATTTTCGTGTTGTCTTCTTAGAATTTGCTTTCTTCAGCTTAGTTGAATTTTTAATCAAAAATTTGCTAGGCGATATTCATATACGAGGGTATTAACAAAAGTAAGTTAATCAGAAAAAAATAAAATTTTTTTTGTATTCATTCATAATCTTTGCGTTTTTTATCTTCTCTTGATAATCGTCATTGATTTCAATGCATTTCTTAGGCCTATAGATCCACTTCTGAAAACAATCTTCAAAATCTAGCTTTTTAAACTTATCAACTTCAGTATTAACCGCTTAATTATCTCCTCGAGCTATTAAATACCTTTTCTGTCATTTTTTTAATTTTCAGAAATAACCAGAATCCCAGAGATCGCAGTAAAATGACTCGTTATTTCAGCAGTGTGGGATGGCGCTTTGTCATGATGTGAACAATAGCGCCGCAAATCTTCTTTCTTCCTGTTTTCTAATAAATTTTTAAGAACTTTTGGTAAGCACTCTTCGGTGTACTTTTTTGCAGTTGCCGTCCGACCCTTTTCCAGTGGAATAGCAGCTACTTGTTTAGATTGGATGAAGTGAACTTATATTATTACTTTTGTTGCTTAGATTTACGGGTGAGTTTGCTAGACTGACCATTTTCAAATTTGTTTAGGAAAAATTGAGCAAAATGCAGTCGAGCCTCATTTAAAATTCGTAGTACCCATCAAGGAAATTTCTTCGTGTATCCTAGATATTCGCGATACAGACATGGCATTCAAGCGCAATTCATTAGCAATCATTTCTTGTGTCAATCGTCTTTTTTAATTTTTACTTCACCAGAGCCACAATGACGTCATGAGTGGAAGACATTCTCGGTGCTCGTCCTCTACGGAAAAGTGTCCGATCTGGAATCTTCGGAACCACTTAGAAATAGTCTTTGAAGACCGATCAATCGTTCCATTTTCATTCATTCAATGAATATTGGCATTGGCTGTAAATTACGCCGAAACCCGAAGAGTATCACAAGGCGAATTTCTATTTGCGTTGGTGGTGGAATTTTGTCCTACCTATCCTCAGCTATCTTGTGTTTTCTCGCCTCCCTTTTAGATTAATAAAGTAATTGCAAAGGATTTGGTGTTTTTAGATTTAGCAAAAACAAATTGAAGGCCACCAACTGACCGCTGATGCCACTCTTCTTGAAAAACTGTAGGTTATATCACAATTTTGATATAAGAAATAATTATTTACTTAATTTTTAGGCTTCTACTATTAAATTTTTGTTATAAGTTAATATATACGTATATACGGACCCTGAATGACTAAGTATGTGATCTAGCGCTAATCCAACATCAGCATTGTATTGTGGTTAGTGAATTGCTTTGCAAGTGAATGAATGAGTTTTACACTTTAATCATTTTCAACAAATTCTTTTCATCATCGTAAATCGTAACAGCAGTAGCATTAAGACATTACCTGTTATTTTCGCCTCAGCGGCGACATCGACATCCTCGTCACGCTTTCCTAGACTATACTCATCTGTTGGGGAGCGACCTGGTTTCGTTTGGTAATTCCAATTGGTGCCGAAAGCGAAGATGAGGAATAAATGGTGCGATGTTATTTATTCGGCTATAATCGTTTAAGCGAAAGTGATTTTGCTGCTGAAGAATGTATTTTTGTGTAGTTTACCCAGTTTTTGAATTAAACTATCGCAAAATGTGCAGCTGCAAATATCTTTGTGAGAAAACAATGCCATACAAATTGACTTCTGATTGAGGATATTTAGACAATATAACCTGCGTCAAAACTTTAAATAACTATATAACATTATTTTATCTTTTTAAAGATTTAAACAGAAAATATTTAATAATCCTCATTTTTTATTTTCAGAATATTTTGAGACTCTAAGTAAAATGGCTTTCAACATGTCTTCTATTAAGAAGGGAGCATCCAGTGTAGAATTATTTGAAGGCTATTCGGACAAGCTTTTGACGTTTGCGTCAGCTGCTTGCATTGTATTCATGATTTTGGGTATACCTGGCAATACGATTAATATAATTGCACTAGCAAGAGGAAAACAGGTAAGCGAATGCGGAATATGCACAAGGGTTACAGGTTTTATTGCGAGCAAATATTTCAACTTTGGGAAAAATTAAAAATATTTTTCGCAGCAAAATACCGAAAGAGAAAATATGTTTTAAGCTGTATAATATTTCCACATAGAATTTCAATAAAATCCCAACAATAATGCATATCCCATGCATTATATATCAAGTTTAACTTAAAAAAAAAAATTATTTAATTTCTCTTATATTTCGTCACCACATTTTACTTTTCCCTGTTTTATATGCAGTATCATCCGAAAATCGCCTCAGCGATTACAAAACGCCAAATATATCTTATTAATTTGAGAACTACATAGCTAATCCCAAATCGTTGATACAATATCAAGTTGAAATCGGCACCGTTTTTAGACATTTTATTTTTAAATGGCTTTCCTTTTGGAATGATGCTTCCATAATTATTTTCAAAAATTCTATGTATGTACTAGAGATGCTCAACTATTGAAAGGATGACTTTCCGTCGGTTAATTTGAAAAAAAGCTAAACGAAATGATTTTTTTTCCTTTCGGCTTCATGGCTCCTCGAAACGAAAAGAAATCTGTTACCGATTTAATATTTACGACTGTAATTCATTTCGGGTAACAACGAAATAAAATTTATTTTGACAATAAAATTTCCGAATTTTTCAACCGAAACGATTGAATTTTTGGATTACGCGAATCTTGTCGTTACGATGAAGCCTTGCTAAATACATCTGTACATATTCCCAAATTCGGTCTCTGCAGAAAAGTGGATAGCGAAGAGTTATGGGTTCCAGTCTAGAGTAAACAAGCATATCAAATATTTGCAATACATTTTCTAGAAAGTTTGGCTTCGTTCCATATACAGATTTATAAAGACAGTATGCACCGGTGGAAGCAAAGGAAGACCTCCATGTTTTTTTAGAATATTTATAACACGTATTTTCGGCCGCGGTAGCACTACCTCGTGGCTGGAGTTCAAATTCTGGTGGTGTAGTAACATCCGAAAAGTTATAGAAAATTAATTTAAATAAAGACTTAAGTTAAATTTTTTAACTGCTATCGCCCCTCGGGAGGGAATTTCAATCACTCCGAACACTTCAAGAACAGACAGTTTTCTTCGATTGCAGGGGCGTGGTGCATCATGAGTTCTTGCCAGAGGGTAGAACGGTCAATAAGGAATATTACCTGCAAGTTATGCGCAATAAGCGCGAAGAAATCCGCCCGAAACTCCCGGATTTGTGGAAGAACAAAAATTGGCTTTTGCACCACGATAACGCCCCTGCTCACACATCGTTGCTTGAGCGCGACTTTTTGGCCAAAAACAACACACTAATGATGCCGCAGCCACCGTATTCCCCAGATATGACCCCTGTGCCTTTTTCTTGTTCCCTAAACTGAAGAGGCCCATGAAAGGACGACGTTACGCTACGATTGACGAGAAAAAGACGACATCGAAGGAGGAGCCGAACAAGAAGTGCTTGTTGAAGTGCTTCGAAGATTGGAAAAACCGTTGGCACAAGTGTATAATATCTCATGGGGACTACTTTGAAGGGGACAAAATAGATATTCATGAATAAATAAATAATTTTTGAAAAAACACAAAATTCGCGATATTTTTTGAACACACCTCGTATACATAATTTCAACAAAAACTTTTGCTGCATGCTTTTGTGTTACCGGCGGTTTCTTTTATGGTTTTACATCTAATTTCTTTTAATTTGCCAATGGATTCCGATAAAAATAAGGAGCGGCAAAGCTTTGGCAGTAATTCGAATGTCAATTGAAAATGAATTACCCACATCTGGGTATTCAAATTATGTATGTATGTATGTCGAAATTAACAATACACTTTGCGTGACGTCTTTGATGCTAAGGACATGCTTATAAAGCTCTGTTCTTATGCAGTACAAACTCCAATGCATCTATGAAAGTGCTAGATATGAATATAGGCTTATAATAAATAAAAATCATCTAAGCGTGCATTTGACTAAGAACATACCTACACTGAAAATTTATCAGGTCCATTCAAATGAGGGGGAGTATATGAATACCACTAATATATAGGATAATGATATGTTCAATAATAAATAATATATTATCTTTAAGAAAATTAAGATTACATACATACATACATACTTTGTTTATTTACACTTTTCTTTGGTTTCGTCTTGTAGACACGGAATTCTACAGCGATGTTCATAATAAATTTGTCTTTGTCGGATTTACTTTTTGACTGTTTCAATCTCCCACTGGCAGTATCTACATTTTTAAGGAGGTCTTGGATACACGGAGAGCTTCTTTGCAGATTTTTCCCACTCATGCGTTATGGTTTGCTGGCAGTTTCGCTGTTTACTGTCTCACTTATCACGATTAACAGATACATCATAATCGCCCACCCTCGACAGTATGCCCGGTTTGGAAGGAAATGTTATATTATTGCCGAATTCTATCTTACCTGTATTATTCCATTATAGAATCTATCAACGACGCTATCTGGGCTTAATGATTGCAGGCACATGGATAACCGCATTCTCTATAATGATACCGACTTGGCGTGGCTTGTGGGGTAGATTTGGCTTAGATACTTCCATTGGGTCTTGCTCCATCCTTCAAGACGAAAATGGACATACCCCAAAAGAGTTTCTGTTTATTGCTGCGTTCATAGTTCCTTGTATTTGCATTGTGGTTTGTTATGCACGCATTCTTTACCTCGTTCGTAAGGCGGCATTTACTCGCCGGTCAAGAGAATATCCTACCAAACCCAATGTAGTGCAACATGAAATTCCCCCACCTCGGCAAATTTGTATGGATGAAGATAAATCGTTTAAAGCCGGAATTAAAGCTGAGTCTCTGCCTGAAATAAAACCTTTTGATGTTTATGAGGATTTGGAGTATATCGATGTGAGTGATTCAAACGACAATGCCCAGGAGCTTGCTCATGAAGTAATCGGTACTAAAAGCAATTGTACAAATTTAAATAACGAATTTAATGCTGCATATGAAAATAGGGTAAGTGATTTTCTTAAATACCTCTATAACATGAAGAAGACATTTTGTACTCTTTTTTAAATGTGACTATGAACGTTTATAGCAATCGGAGAAAATATAATTTGAATAGGTATTGAGCTCCTATCTAATATAAAAGTGATTCATCTAAAAGTTTAATTTGGAAATACAGTAGTTTTCCGATTAAAGAACACAATTCGTTAAATCGCTGGAACTATTAAAATTTATTCGCGTCTAACAGGAACTAGAAACATTAATCTTTAATCGAGATCTCTTTTTTTATTTATTCTTCACCGTTTCTTAGGAATATTTTTTTTTGTTTATTTATCATAAAACCTCTCGGTTTTCTTCGCCGCTTAGTTTTAACTTATACTCATATATGGAGATGTTAACGGGTTAACCGAAAATACAATACATATAATTACGATCCAGAAAACCACAGATGCATTATATGTCGTAACTAAAACATGTACTCGTATATTAAATATCCAGAAATGCGCTCACAGTTACTAATTTTTCCATTTTTATTGATTCGACCACATATTGTTGCGACTTACTGCATTTTGTCCACTTTTATTCTAATTGGTATTGCAATGCACGATACAGAACTTTAATAAGGCATTACTTCGGCGGTAGCCGAGCGGTTAGCATTGCGTAATGCCATACGAAAGGCTCGCTTCCAAGTTCTGGGGTCGTACTAATATCCGAAAAGTTTTAGAAAATTAATTTAAATATGAAATTAAGTTAAACTGTCTAAATAACCATCCGGAGTGTATTTCTGACATGAAATAAGGGCTTCGCATAAAAAACCATCAGCCGTTCGGAGGTGTCTTAATATACAACGCAATTTTCAATATTGTCGCGGAAATTTTCCCTTGCGGATTTAGAGATCTCCTAAGAAAATATACGCCAATTCCAAATGCACAGAGACAATGATTTTTTGGGGGTTGGATTTTTTCTCTTTCGAAATCAGCTGCTTAGTATTATTATTATTATTTGGTGAAACAAACAATTGTTATCGAAAACAAAAATTAAATTTGAATTACATATACATATATATATGTATACACTGTGATACTAAATTTACTGGCAACTGAATCAAAAGAGGATGAATGGCTATTGTTCTTAAACGTAGATAAACTCCACACCATGGTAAATATCCACGTCGTTTGGCAAGGTCTCTTGTACCTGCAATCTAAACTCTTTCACCTCAATGAGTTTGAATTTCGCTCCTTCGGGAGGGGACAATTTACGCTCTGCGTTAAGGCCACCTCCTGTCGTATTTTCTGGCTTTCAAGTTTTGAGCTACAGGTTTTTCTTTTGATCAGCCCACACCTTTTGCAGGAAAAGAAATTTTACGTTTTTTCATTGCACAATATTTTTTACAGATGTTTCTGCGGTATTTTGTTCGTTATTTATCTTCTCCCAAAATTGGTTGAACTCCTCCTTATTACTCCTAAAAATCTACGGCCAATAGCCGGCTGAGCTTCCATCGGCTCTACAAGCAGCTCTAATTGCACTTTACTCATTGTTTTTAACCTAAAGAAACTATTAATACGATTATTTGTGTTATTTTTATTAAATACTTACATTTTTATAAAAAAAAAAACTCCCATACAACATCTATGTGAAAAAACTCTCGCGGGATATTGAAATAATTCGATTTTTTTTTTGCATTGGTGATGCGAACTTTTTCCACTGGAAATTTTCCCCTATTTTCGGAGTTTGTTTAGAATACGAGGAAAGAGAAAAAATCCAAAAACGAGGAGAGGGAAAAGTGATAAATCTCCAGCGGAAATTTCATCCAGAATATTGCAGGTAAACTTCACGACGAAAAATCATAAATTGGAGGAAGATCTCAGCCGAAAATCGCTTCAGCAATTGCAAAGCGCCAATTATATACATAATTCGAAATAAAAATTTTTTTATTATTGCTCTTTTTATGTGCGGTTTCTGCTTGAAAGTAATTACCATATCTCAGCCAATGAACTAAAAGTGAGAAAGAGTATGAATTGAATGAATTGGAGACATTTTTAGAAACTCTAAAAGGTCCTTACTTTGATCGACGAACTAATTCGCGCGGATAGGGATAACGTTTTAGTGAAAATCATATCATGATGTTGAAAAATTGGAAATAAGGCATTATAAAAAACGCTGGGGTTGTTAGATTAGAAGTTATGGTAGGAACGATGTATATAAATAAAGCCACATATATATCATTATTTTCAGGTAAAGCCTGTAGTCGATACCAGTATTAGGAATCGCAAGCAATGCGTATTCCAACCAAGAGTTGCACGCAGCCAAGTCAATAAAATGGTCAGAAAGTTGAAGTGTTCACTTCCTGCCAAGTATTGAAATTCGATGCAATACGTCCCTAGGATGAAAAACATTCACGATACAACACCACCTTTCGGACCTAAGTTAATATACGAAAGGAAGCCTTCAATATTATTTTCCTTGAACGAAACTGAACATTGATTAAAGCACGCAACTGTAAGTCATGTATGTAATACAACTGAAGGATGCTAAGAATATACTGTTAAAAGTACAACACTATGAAATGTATGAAATGCAATATTTTTTTCCGAAGCAATTCACTTTTATATGCAAAAGATTTCCTCAATTTTTTAAACAGAGTCGAAGGCGGAACCAAATAATAAGTGAAATTTTAATCGCTATATTTGTGTATATCAAGCTTTTTAAATAAAAATTTTCTTGGTTTAATTCTGTACTGATTATAAAAAAAAATGTTGTGTACAGTTCAAAATTGGGATTAATGTTGCAGGGATCTGAAAATGTTTGATTTGTATATTATATATACCAGTATAGCCTTTAACAGTTGCATATATATATAGGCTTTTAAGGTCCGAGTGAAATTAACTAAAATGGGCCGTTCGGATATGTGTTAGAATAAACTTAGGTCCCTCCATTATTTTATCCATTTTTTAGGTTATATGAGGAGCGTTTATTTCATGTCATAAATACCTTAGGAAGTATGACCGCAATGAGAAAATTTAACTTCTACTTAACTTTGTATTTAAATCAATTTTCCTTAATATTTTGATGTTAGTCAGACCAGGACTCGAATCCTGACTTTCTGATTGTAGTACGCCATGCTGACCAGTGGCAGAACTAAAAAAAATAGAATTGTGCGTACCGGTCGAGAATAAATGTATAAAATGCGCTTCAAAACGAGATAGACATCTTTAAACTGCTCAGGACAACAAGGAATTTCCCGATATAATATATGCTTTTCAGAAGTTTAATATATTAAATAAGTTGTGTTATAAAAAATTATGACAAGAATTTAAAAAAATTTAGTTTGAACCCGAGGTCATAATATAGTTTAGCTCATTAAAAATGAATGATGCAGAGGTTGGTGTTGCAAATATATATTCCATCACTAAAATTGAAGCTATTATAACTGTCTCTCACTGTGTCAGAAATTGATATTTCGCAACACAGATTAACTTAATAAAAGTGACTACTAATGTCAGTTATGGTTTCATAAATGGTTATCACACCGATGATATTTACACTAATTTTAGCAAAGCATTTACCATACTCAGGGCCGCCGAGAGAAAATTGGGGCCAGGGGATAATTCAAATGCGGGCCCCCAACACCTTAATTTCATGATCTAACAAATATGTTTATTTGCACTTACACTGCAAATCAACGAGTTGGGGATTAAGATAGAATAGAACTTGAATAAAAATGAAAATGAATGAGTAATCTGGAACAATTTTTGTTTAAACAATTTTATTACCTTAGTTTGCATCACAATAGTATTTTAATAGGTAGCAACCCTCAAAAATATGCCTTCCTTGCTTTAGCTGATGCAAATTCCTCATTGTTAATACCGAAGTCAAGTTTTCTAGCTAATTGAGATTCCAAACATAACATTGCCAGTCCTGAGACTCGAGATTGGCTTGAACAAGAACGATGATAGTTCTTTACGTCATAGATATTCTAGAAGCAAATTATTTTATATACGACAATGAGAACACCGGGCCCCCTTGCAATCTACGGGACCGGGGAGAAAAGTCCCTGATCCCCGCCTCTCGTTGGGCCTGGCCATACTCGGTAATTTTGGGCTCCCACTTTCCTTACCATGATGATAACATATTTAATGGATAGAAAACAGAGTATAGTTGTAATATTTGTACATCCCTTGAAATATCAATAACACAACTGGTATACATGAATACAGCCTTCTCAGATTGTTTATATTTCTTATATTGTTCAATGATTTTCCAATTGTTTTTTGTTTTTTTCATTCTAAAATATTTATATTTGCATGCTGATGAGGCCACACTCCCTAAATCAGTTGACCCAAATAATTTACTAAAATAGTGTGGTGAGAATCGTATCGTTAAGCTCGTAAAAAGGAGTGTAAAAATATATGTGTCCTTCCATAGAAAATCCTTCCAATCCTTTGCTTTGTGATTCGTAATCACAATATTGAAAAATTACTGACTTCATTGATTTGGCTGTCATAATGGATCTTAAGTTACATTTTTAGAAATCATGTAAATTCTTGTGGCAAGGCAGCTTTCATTAAACCAGCATTGCGTACTTCATGTGTGTTAATCTTCATTTCATTCGTTAGGCGTTAGGTTCACACAAACACAATTGTATAGCGGTGAATTAGAATTATATTATATTTCACAGAGGTATTATCAACTGCCCTTTCCTACTTAGTAAGCAAGAAAAAGAATAAGTCTACTTTCAGTTCTTTGTTTAATATTTTTATATGTTGGTTTTTTCACTTAAAGTTACTCAACTAAGTTTATACAATTCCAATATAATTGTTACATGGGGTTGATTAGCAAACACACACAAATACTTCAGCTCCATAATAATATTAAACAAGTTATCCAAAGGATCGTATACCCCGGCATTCCTCTAAATAGTTACATTTACAAGGTGAGTTCTTGAATTTATTATTTACAAGAAATTAAATAATTGAAATTGTAATTTTTTTATTCTTGATGTAGATGAATGTAATTGATTTCAAATAAAGAGGAAAGTTTTCAATTTAGATACGTATATATTTTTATTTATGCAATTAGGATAACAGCTATTTAAAAATAAATTTTAATTCATTTATTAAAATATTAAACAAATATTCATTTATCAAGGATAATATTGAAGGTTTTTCCACAATATTTCTTCATATTTAGATTATGTGTGAGGTTGTTAATATATTCATAGTGCATAGGAGGTATCTAACAAGTATCTTATCCTTATACTTAGGAATTGAAATGGGACGTACTTTTTTGGTAAAGTTCCTTGGTCTTCCCAGACAAGGTAATAAGTCAAGTATTTTGAACTCTGTACTTACTTCCATATATTATTTATAAATAATTTTATAGCGTTAATTTTTTTATGATTCTCATCCAACATATCCTTGACAGGTTCGCCTTTAATGTTTTTTAATCTTTTATGAATAGTTCTTCCTGATATTTTGTAGAAAAAATCTTCACGTGTCATTTTAGCTAGTCGAAATTTTTTACTCTTTCGACACGTTTTTATGATTTCGTAGTAATTTTGTGGGACATACATTAAATTATTTTTCCCCAACGCCATTTCCTTTATTAGGAAATTACTATTATTTGGCAAAAATGAATGATAGTAAAAACTTATGGTCAAAAATATAATATATGCATTATTTTCAACCATTCTACTGCCATTTTATATCGCTGTTTTGCCCAGTGCTGTGAGCTACGTGTCTGGTTTCTAAGATTTTTTAGTTGTTTTAATAAACAAGATACCGCTTCTTGAGAACCTCTCAATGTTACAATTTCATCCCAGACATTTTGTGACATAAGACATTACATTTCAAAGAAGTTGCTATCAGTGGACTTAAACCAGTTTCAAAGGTATGTATTTTGTTAATTAGCTAAATTTCAAGTGCTGCAAATCATTACGACTTTAATGATACTAGACTTAAATTATTAATTAAAATATTGTTATCGTTAACTATTTTTTTTTTTTAAATGGACTTAGGCCATTTTCACTTTAAACTGCTTATTTATCATTTCGCAATTTAAATTTAGTTTTTAGCAGCAGATTAATAAATCTCTGTTAATTGTAGTAACCGCCGGATTGTATTGGGTTGCCCAAAAAGTAATTGCGGATTTTTTAAAAGAAAGTAAATGCATTTTTAATAAAACTTAGAATGAACTTTAATCAAATATTTAATTGCCATTTTTTTAGATAACCTTTTGCCATCTTCCTGGCAAATTTAGTATTCCACGCTCATAGAACTTCTGGCCTTTATCTGCAAAAAACTGAACCAAGTGCGATTTTATAGCTTCATCATTGCCGAAAGTTTTACCATTTAAGGAGTTCTGCAAAGATCGAAATAAATGGTAGTCTGATAGTGCAAGGTCAGGGCTATATGGTGGATGCATCAAAAGTTCCCAGCCAAGCTCACTCAGTTTTTGGCGAGTGACCAAAGATGTGTGCGGTCTAGCGTTGTCCTGGTGGAATATGACACCTTTACGATTGACCAATTCTGGTCGCTTCTCCTTGATGGCTGTATTCAATTTGTCCAATTGTTGACAGTAAACATCCGAATTAATCGTTTGGTTCCTTGGAAGCAGCTCAAAATATACGACACCCTTCCAATCCCACCAAACAGACAGCATAACCTTCTTTTGGTGGATATCAGCCTTTGAAGTGGTTTGAGCTGGTTCACCATGCTTGGACCATGATCGTTTTCGACTAACGTTGTTGTAAACAATCCATTTTTCATCTCCAGTTATGATTCGTTTTAAAAACGGATCGAATTCATTGCGTTTAAGGTGCATATCACAAGCGTTGATTCGGTGTGTTAAATGAATTTCTTTCAATACATGTGGTACCCAAATATCAAGCTTTTTCACCAGTCCAAGACTTTTTATGTGATAATGAACGGTTGATTTTGGTATATTTAACTTCTCTCCTATCTCACGCTCAGTTACATGACGATCCAATTCGATTAATGCTTTGATTTGGTCATCATCAACTTCATTTGGCCGACCTGAACGTGGCTCATCTTTAAGTGAAAAATCTCCAGAACGGAATTTGCGAAACCAATTTTGACACTGTCTTCCTTTTAAGGCTTCATCACCATACACATCTCGTAACTTTTTAGCAACCTGCTCCGCGTTTTTTCCTTTACGGAAATAATAAAGTAAAATATGACGAAAATGCTCCTTTGTGGGCTCCATATTAAAATTGACGCCAAACAAACAAATGTAAACAAAATTTCGCGCACTTTTTTTCTAAAGCAAGCTAAAAGTAACAGCTGATAACTGACAGAAGAAAGAATGCAATTACAGAGTCACAAGCCGTTGAAAAAATTTGTCAACGCCGACTATATGAAAAATCCGCAATTACTTTTTGGGCAACCCAATAACTAGTTTTCGGTCACTGTTGGAATTCACGTTTATCCTTCAGATGCGCCGCTTCATTTTCAAAATTAGCATAAATTAAAATTATAATTAATAAATGAATTACTAAAGTTACAAAGCTCGAGTATATTGTAGTGGCTGTAATTGTGAATGTATGTATTGTGTATATAAAAATCTTGCGTTTGTTTGTAAAGATTCTCATATCTCGAATAGTTACCAGACCATTAGAGAAAATCTCTTATCTCCGAGATCGAGACTAGAGATCGACGCATTCACTTAACTAGCAGTTCGGAACATGGGTGGATTTTTGCACAGATTAACAGCTCTGCTCTTCTCATTGGAAAGTAGGCCAGGGACCGAACTATTCGAGAAATTGTATTTAAGATTCGATTTTGGTATTATTTGGATATAAACATAGATCGTGTACAGGAATGTTATTATTTTGCAGATGTGGGCTACAAGCAATTTTTATACGTTATGCTTGAGTTTGAATAAGCATATATTCGAACAGATCAGTTGGGCTTACTTCGAGGCATTCATATTGGCATTTTCGTTGAAAGACTTTGAGCAGCGAAGAAGTGACCCATATACAATGAAGAAGTTAGATCAAAAATTTAATAAAAAAAAAACTTAATATTTTGAAATAGATGATGCTTAATTAAGGATTTTATTTCATCGTGCTTTGTATTACCAAATAGAATATAATTGGAAAAAGTACACAGAGATACAACAATGTGTGACTGCACCTGCTGTTTAATAATATTATGTATTAATGTAAACCACCTTTATATGTATATTTACAGAAAGAAGCAACTCCACCTAAGGCACCCGTCCCTGATCTTGCATGCTACTCCAAGACAGAACAGACGTAAGTAATGAAAGAAAGAAAATCCAATGCCCCTACAATCCTATATGTTGATTAACTTTTGGAACCGAAGTACATTTAAAAAAAAAAAAAAACTGTAGACATGTGGTAGCTTACTTAGGAGAACAATCTTTACATCCACATTCGTAAATATACCAAAAAATCTAATTGTAGTCAGAGTATGCCAATCATATACGCTTTACTGTATTCTACATTTTAGTCAAATTATATTGTTTCCAATCAATTTATGCGTTTTTGTCCGTACATTGAAACTTTTCCTCTAAAGAGCGCTGTTTTTACAACTATTTCACCAACTACACGACTTTTATTTCCACAACAGAATGTCTGTATACTTAATCTGCAGCTTAGTTTTCATTAGACTCCAATATTGCACGATTGGTCTAAACTCTGCCATTCATTCCACTCGTAACATAATTAATATTACTATAATGAGCTTCTTCTGAATGACAACAATATATTGGGTTGCCCAAAAAGTAATTGCGGATTTTTCATATAGTCGGCGTTGACAAATTTTTTTAACGGCTTGTGACTCTGTAATTGCATTCTTTCTTCTGTCAGTTATCAGCTGTTACTTTTAGCTTGCTTTAGAAAAAAAGTGCGCGAAATTTTGTTTACATTTGTTTGTTTGGCGTCAATTTTAATATGGAGCCCACAAAGGAGCATTTTCGTCATATTTTACTTTATTATTTCCGTAAAGGAAAAAACGCGGAGCAGGTTGCTAAAAAGTTACGAGATGTGTATGGTGATGAAGCCTTAAAAGGAAGACAGTGTCAAAATTGGTTTCGCAAATTCCGTTCTGGAGATTTTTCACTTAAAGATGAGCCACGTTCAGGTCGGCCAAATGAAGTTGATGATGACCAAATCAAAGCATTAATCGAATTGGATCGTCATGTAACTGAGCGTGAGATAGGAGAGAAGTTAAATATACCAAAATCAACCGTTCATTATCACATAAAAAGTCTTGGACTGGTGAAAAAGCTTGATATTTGGGTACCACATGTATTGAAAGAAATTCATTTAACACACCGAATCAACGCTTGTGATATGCACCTTAAACGCAATGAATTCGATCCGTTTTTAAAACGAATCATAACTGGAGATGAAAAATGGATTGTTTACAACAACGTTAGTCGAAAACGATCATGGTCCAAGCATGGTGAACCAGCTCAAACCACTTCAAAGGCTGATATCCACCAAAAGAAGGTTATGCTGTCTGTTTGGTGGGATTGGAAGGGTGTCGTATATTTTGAGCTGCTTCCAAGGAACCAAACGATTAATTCGGATGTTTACTGTCAACAATTGGACAAATTGAATACAGCCATCAAGGAGAAGCGACCAGAATTGGTCAATCGTAAAGGTGTCATATTCCACCAGGACAACGCTAGACCGCACACATCTTTGGTCACTCGCCAAAAACTGAGTGAGCTTGGCTGGGAACTTTTGATGCATCCACCATATAGCCCTGACCTTGCACCATCAGACTACCATTTATTTCGATCTTTGCAGAACTCCTTAAATGGTAAAACTTTCGGCAATGATGAAGCTATAAAATCGCACTTGGTTCAGTTTTTTGAACATAAAGGCCAGAAGTTCTATGAGCGTGGAATACTAAATTTGCCAGGAAGATGGCAAAAGGTTATCTAAAAAAATGGCAATTAAATATTTGATTAAAGTTCATTCTAAGTTTTATTAAAAATGCATTTACTTTCTTTTAAAAAATCCGCAATTACTTTTTGGGCAACCCAATAATAAGTTTATTATTGTAACTTATTTTTGTGTAAATGCAAATTTCTTAATTCATCATAGTGGGATGCTCTGAGAATTATACAATATAAGGCGATTTTAAATTCTTTAAACTTCCCCCTTTAGTTAAAGATGCGACATTGGCCATTTGTAAAATGCTAATAAACGCATTTATATATGGTACTACTTTTTTTTGTGTATTTATATAGTAAAAGTTTAATTATTCTTGAAAAGACAAATATTATTATGCATTAAAAACTTTACTTATCGGTTATTTAGAGTACTTTTTTAGGAAGTGGGCCAGGTACCACAGGTTTGCTTGGTCAATCATATAACCCGATAGATGGCATCATTTGTTGACTTAAGTTGGCCTCCGTGCGTATGTTGAATTTTCACTGACCAGGACTCAGTAAAAAATAGTCAGCAAGTTGTATAACAACTGTTTCTTTTGCAGTTACATTTCAGTCCGTTTATTAATACTGTCTTTTGTGTCACCTGTTTTTAAGGACTTTCACTTATTTTTTTATATAATATTAAATAAAACTTCGCAATTTTATGTTATTTTTTATTAATTATTTGTATTCAAAATTGTTGTATATCTTCAATGATGATATTCTACATGCTTCATGGCCATCAAACCATAAAGGTACTAGGAAATATGGTTTTTAAATAGTACCCTTATAGGACGAATAGCTGTCTGACAATAACGAAACCCCCCCCCCCCTCCACCCACAATTAACAACGAAATTATTATAATTCTGTGCCTTTGATATTCAAAAACTTTCAATTCTCCAATGCAGACGGTCACTTTTCACAAAACGTTGCCGGTCAGCTATAATTTTTATTATCTTTGGGCAGAAATTTTTATTTAAATTAAATATTGTTTTTCTTACATCTTAGCCATAAAGGATTTATAACAACATCTCTAAAGACGTCATTCCGCAGGACTACACCTCGAAAATCTCATTATGTCTCAATGGGAAATACATCAAATGCTTCCTCCATATATCCAGGAAGAATGAGCCAAAAGGATCGACGCTTGCTGAAAATGATTTTGGTTATATTTATTTCTTTCCTTTTTTGCCATTTGCCAATAACAATAACAAAAATATGGAAAAGTGCTACAGATTTTCATATAGTTAATATAAGTGGTTATTTACTTATTTACCTAACCACATGTATAAACCCTATAATTTATGTATTAATGTCTAGCGAATACAGGCAAGCTTACTGGAATCTATTGTGCTGCCGGCAGAAGGTGTAAATATTTTTATTATGTTATATTATATTTAAGTGAAGCTAGCTCTAAATTAAACCAAAACTCGGCAATATATTAATGAGACCAGCTTTAGTGAGAAATATATCATACCTTATCCACATGTCTATAAGATCAATATTGAATAAAACTTTGAAAAGTACATATTGAATTACAAATAGCCACTGACCAATAAGTTAAAAGAGGGAAACTTTAAGGCATTATAACTGCAAAATTTATATAGACAGACGAACACACTAAAGTTGGTAATCAACTCATCTTGTGTTGCTGATCATATTTTAATATAATTTCGTAGTTCTATCTCCGCTCTTTCTGGTAGTAACACAATTCGCACCGAATTGAAAAAGCCATTATGCATACATACATACATATGTATATATATAATATATTTATATAATGATATAATGAACTCATATACCGAATTGGTACCCTTACACACCAGTATTCTCGATTATAAGAAAGTAATTAGAAAAGAAATGCAACCTTAGGCTAATACTAACACTTTATAGTATTCATAAAAGAGGCTAATTTAATGTTTGATATAACGGTAATTAGCTATGAAATTATATTTCTCATCCTTAAATGCTCAGTATCACACAACCGAAAAAATACTGGAAAATTTAAAAACATAAAAGCTTTAAATAGAAGCTTGTAATAAATAATAAAGATACAAAATGTTACATAGCAATAAATAATATAACTGAAATGTGCGCATTTAAATATGATTATTATGTTCGAAACATATTTTACTATGTTAAATTAGGTAGAGTAACTTAAAATATGTTCCGAGTTGCTCTAATTTTTTCTTCATCTTATTAATTGGCGTGGGCACCACTTACACGATTACAGCCGAATCAGCAATAGCGCGCCATTCGTTCTTTCTCTTCGCTGTTTTACGCCTATTGGAAATAAGAAGTGAAGCTATGTCGCTTTCCCATTGATCCTTCTATATCTGTTCGTCATTGCCAATGCGCAAATGACCATAAATCGATCTAAAAGTCTTTCTATCGAAAACTCCTTATAACGACTCATTGGATGTTGTCATCTTTCAAGTTTCTTCACCATAAATCCGAACGGGAATCTTTATAGAGCACTTATGGTGTTGAAAGGCTGCTACGGTAAGCCATCTGCTCCTCTGCTTTACTATTATCTACATTCGGCTTTGATCGGATAGCATAATAGTAAAATGTATATACCATCATAATGGATTAGGAATTCAGGCTCATCATAACCGATTGTTGTAATTTCAATGGCATTCAACGAACTGAAGATTTATCTCCATAAACTCAGTATGATCTAGGCATTGGGCGGCAGTTCAATAGATTGGTTCCTATATGAGTGTGCTTCGGTCATGAAACACTCTGTTGGTCTTTAAACTTTTCATAGAATTTTCGTGCATTACCCCTGTCAGTCATTCCCTCAAACTGTTCATACTCTCAATTGGGCGTCTTTCTATCCACTAACCACTTCACGGTCTCCACCCCACATGCCATGCGTTCCGGTAGATGCATTTTTGCTCTACAGTAAAATTCAACATTCCTCGTAATACAAAGTCGTCTTCCGGCTGGACCAGTTCGTTTTATGGCCACTGCAATAATGCCCTAAGGATGATCTTTTCCATACCTGTTCCGTCCATAACATTGCTTAGATACAGATAATGTCAGCATTAATTTTCGCTAAGGCATCCACCAGCTGGGCACCGACATCTACCAAATTAAGGGACATTCCTTATGCACCCCACAAAACGTGATTTTTAAAACGTTTGCAGGGGTAGGCAGAAAGAGTGGGATCAGTCATTCTATGCTTCTAGATGTTCATTCTTCTCTATTTTGTGTTTCATTGAACGCCTTTAATATATGTACCAACGAGTAAACTTTCTCATGGAGGTATATAATTTTCAAAGTTCCGTTGATGCCATCATGTAAAACTTTTCATAGACCAGTGAAAATCTTTCCTATTTTATGCACTTCCTAAATTTGTGAGCCGCGTAAAATGTCCTAACAAGGAATGCACATATGCACTTATTCATAAATTATTTATGTACATGTAAACATTGTGTGTTAATAATATTTACTTTATTTTATAAGAATTATCGATGTTTATTTTAAGCAATATCATCATGCATAATTTTACAATAACTACAATTATTATTAAAGTGTAAATGCAAATAAGTAATTGATATAATTTTATTGTTCTGGTTTTCGATACGAATTAACTATATAAATTGTTCAATTATTTAATCATCCTACAGGCTCCAAATGTTCAGCTAGCTCGAGAATAGGGCTTTCACTAAGAGGCCTTATTACAGTTTGCCAGTTTGATGTATAAACGTTTGCCTGAAATGAGTTATACATGTAATTATAAGTAGATGGTAGCATACGAAATGAAATGTAATAAAAAATTATTTGTATTTAAAAATCTTTAAATAATTCTTTAGATTTGTCATCGAAAATTGGGAAAAACTTTTTTGTTTTTGTTTTTTAACACGCAATATCCATAAAATCCTAGCTCAATCTGAACTTATGAGGCTTTATGGATGAAAACACCGCCACAAGCACAAATTTTCAACTTTACCCAACTAAATAAGCTGCAATATTTAACAATATGCTAATATGAACTTGAAGAATGTCTGTAACACGATTGACTATTTATAAGTGTTTTTTGACCAAGCCCTATCTTTTACCTCCTTTCTTTCGAAGTGCAAAGAGCTTGCATCAGGATATTGGCTATTCTGGCGACTATATTGAGAGTTTTTTTTTGTAACTTTGGAAACACAAATTGCGAAACTGCATCATGACAATGCTACAATTTGACTTGCAACAATACTTTGCAAACTCTGACATTTTGGAACGCTTTTCGTGCAAATAAGTTGCTTTTTGGTGAAATGGCTAAAATATAAAACAGATCAAGAAAATAATAAAGGTAAAATAAATTAATTAGCGCAAAAATCTTGTTCTCCAACGTCGGCCGTTGTTGTTAAGAATGTATGATAAAATAAAGCATCACAGCCTCAGCGATGCGCAGTTTGCTTTTGTTTGCGCATCAATAACTTTACCGATGCATTTTGGACCGTGATACATCGTCAAAGTTTGCACAGTTGCATTTAGAAATGCTAGACAATGTAAGGTTGCTTTCCAACTGACGTTTTGGAACTCACCCAATTGAAGGTTGGATAAGGGATGACAAGGGAGTTTTGACACTGCCTTATAAACGGTTGCATTTTGGAAAGGAGTAGAAAGAGAGATAATTTTAATTTCCGGTTTGAAAAAAGCAAGTTAAATTATAGCCAAAATGGGGAAAAACTAGGAGGGTTAGTATTTTATTTAATCGGCTATTATTACATATCAGAGATTTTAGACAAATATTATATACTTATAGATCAAAAAAGATTTTTTTAATCAAAACTAGCTGTTTGCGTTGTTGGAATATATAAGAGAAGTCAGTAAGCAAAATCATAAATTTAAGTAAAAAACGAAAAATAATTATTATCAATTAAATAAAGATGTAGAAAGCAATATTTTACAACAACTAATGATAACAGAATGGTAATGATTTCACAGATAACTCCAAGAAAGAGTTTTTATTCATAATGAACTAAACTAACACTAGATTGAAGGATATATTTATCGTTCGTTTTTACTCAAAAGAAGTAAAATGTATGCCCTTATTATCTATTTATATCTACATATGTACAAATATAAGTACATCCGTTAACGTTTGAAAGTAAGTTTTCACATTTATAGTAAGGTTGTGGTTCTTGCTTGAGGGACATCCATATTGGTTGTCAACGCTACTCCTTCAGATGTTTGCGATTCACAACCACAAATATGTAGCTTCTTGCAAGCAGAAGGATCTCTTGCCTTATCTGGAGTGCAAAAACTTCCACTAGTTCACCTACGAACAAATTCTGAAGAATCAATACAGTAAAATCACATGAAACATTTAATAATTATTCATATATTAAATGCACCAGAATATAAACTTACCAAAAATACCAAATATAAAAAAATATGCGCAAATAAATAAAACTTTAAATCTAAACAAACTCAGCCTGCCAATAGGGAAAGAGTATGTGGTGCCTATCCAATGTTTTCAATGAAATTCTAAACCTTTTACTACCATTTAAAATATATTATGAGACCTGGCATGACCTCAATTGTAGCACAACAAAGTTTTTTGTTTTTGCTTTTTTAAGTTCTAAGGTAAGTTTAAGGTCTAACTTGGCGTGTTGAAACTATTTTGGATCCAGATTCGAATTCAGCACATCAAAAACTTTTGAAATGTATATCACTGTTCCTGGTTACAATTCTTAAACAAATTTGGTCGGCCTGTGTATTCGATATCAGCTGTTGTCGGAAACAACTCGAAAAACCGCTAACTAAGCGACGAATATTTTGAAGTTGTTTGCGCCAAAGTAAGGAAATGTAAAGTATGTAGATCGGGAAATCATCTAAGCTCTATATTGAGATAGAATAGTCGACATATGTATATATATAAATTCAGATGGGAAATAACAGAAAACTATATTCGTGATGGACACACGGATGGACACACAGGAACATAAATCATGAGGAATTATATTACAACATCGATGTACACCATTCTATAAACGTGCTAATGGTGATAGGATTTTTTTTAAGTAATCATTTGTTTTTATCATTCCCCTTTCTGCTTTTCGCATATTTTGACGTTTTGTTCAGCAGTGGTGCCACTTTTCTTCCGCAGTCGATTATCGCTAAAACTGAGTTGGCGAATCGTCTACTCGTGAATGCAAGCAACGAATTCGAAAGTTAAGGATCTGAAAAATCGTATCGAAGAAGTCACTGTATTACAACACAGATCTTTATTTGTGTTCCGAAAGTTTAAATAGTCAACTCTCTTATGCACCATTCTTGCAGTGTGAAAGTCTGCTCTGTAAATTTTTTGTTATCAAAAGAATTCAATGCATTAAGGGTTGGGATCCTAAGAAAATTATGCAGATTCATTTCGATCGGGCCGGAATTTCGATCTTGATTATAAAATTATAATCAGATTGAGATCGCATGTGGAGAACAATGGGTTCCAATCCTGACCAGGTCATCATTCTAAATAAGCTTAAAAAATTACTTTTTTCTAAATTTTTTCTGTTAGACGCCAGTTATACTTATATACGAATATGTAAAAAATAATATAATATAATAACTATTCGTCCTTGTTCCCAAATATGTACATAAAACTGTTATTTAAACTGAATAACTAAAATAAATAAATTTATTAAAAATTTGTATAAAGTCTTAAAAATACATATTTTCATATTTTGCATTATATTAAAAATTCGTTCATTTCAATTTACCTACATTTGCATGAAATTGTGGCGTTATATGTCCCCCACTTTCTCTTAATTTACTGGTTTTTTTCAATTGACTATTGTTCATTGTTGTTGGAAGGGAGCTCCACGTCTCTGACGCATGTCTACTTAACGGTGAGTATTTTGTTGGCATTCTTGTTGTTGAAAGATCCTGAGATTGTTGATTTATGTAAGATGTCTTCATGTATTTATTTGTTGTTGGACCATATGACAGCGGTATTATTGAGGAATGTTGGAATTTTCCCGAACCTCGGTCAAAGACACTTAAGCCATTTATAAAAACATCATTAGGTGGGCATGATTCCGTTGATTCGAATCTTGTTGCAACTAAGCCATGCTGAAGCGGCATCCCGGATTTGTAGGCTTGCTCACGCATCATGAATTGCTGTCGGGATATCTGTGCTTCAAACGCGAACTGTTTTTGCAATTGCCGTTTTTGTAGAAGCCGATGTTGAAGCAGCTGTTGTTGCAGAGGCTGTCTTTGTACCGCCAAATGATTAACACTGCAAAGGAGCGCCATATCACCACCAGCTCCCATCGGTACGCCATTTGGCTCTACACGCACATTGTTTATAAACGGAGCAGGAAACTCAATAGTGTCAAAGCTGTGCTGTGGACGTATTGGATGATGAGCTCTTGGAATGTGTGGCGTCTGCACAAATTGATGATGCAAATCCAAAGACATCCTGTTGGGTATTGAGTAATATTGATTACTTTGGTATTGATAACTACTGCTGTCTTCTATGGATAAATTGTTAGTGTGGTATCTCGACTTGAGAGATACAACTTCCTTTCGTAATTGTTGCAACTCCAGCCAACAGTCTTGTTTTCGAGTATCATAACGATAACTACCATAACCAACTTCAGAATTTAAAACTGACATTGAATTTATAAATGCTTGTGGAACGATCCCATCGCTGGCCCGCCGTCCTTCCCTACAAATAATAATTAATGTGGACTACTACAAACACTTTCATATATTTACCTGAAATGTACAGGTGCTCTATTTTCGGTGTAGGATACTGGTGACATGGAACATAACGTCGACTGCCTCGAAACGGGTATGTGGAAACATGAATTATTGCTATTATACATGGAATGCTCTGACCTCCGATCTGTGGCGATCGCTAAGGTGGTATTACTGGCGCAGGAGGGTAAACTACTTGTGAGATCCATGCTTGGAGTTATGTTTAAATCAATGCTTTCTAAAACCGAACAGTCGCTGTTTGAGGATCCACGACTAAGGTTTTGGCTAAGACTTTTAGAATAAGCTATTACTCCGCTTGATGAACTACTGCTTGTGTATGATTGCACTCGTTGAGTTAGATCAGATGTTGATTGCGAACATTCTACAGGAGTATAAAGGGTGCAATAAATACCGCAAAAACAAACTAATATACACAGTGCCCCAAAAATGTTTTGTTTTAAATGAAATATAATATAAGAAAATTCTTACATAAAAAGAAGTCGAAAGTGTTCAACACGCGGTAGTTTTAAGGTCTAAGATGGAGCTGGGTTTATGTTTTACATCATCCCAAGTAGTGCAGCTCTTTTGATAGGATTTTCTTTTCATTCTTCAACCGTTATATATATTATTTAATAAAGCAAAATAATATAATTTTGGTTGTATTCAGTCTAGAGGCTCGGGAGATATATGTTTAAACTATTGATTTAAAAGTCTCCTTCGGTTCGTCTCGTCATTCCACGCCGTTCGAACAATAAGCATCCAAATCAATCGTCCATATAGGTGGATGCCAATATACATACATATATAACTTTGTTAGCTTTCGGGAAGACTACCTTGAGTTTCACAATAGGGGACGTTTGCAGCTTTAATATAAAAGTCATGTCCCACATTATTTTCATTAACTTTAATTTTCATTTTGTAAGCCGGTCTCCAATTGATTTTGGATATTGTTCTTATATTTTTGTGGCTGTCATGGGCCATTGGTAATAGCGGTATCATTCGCAAAATTTGATGCGATTACTACAAGTATATATGTATGTGGTGAACATTATATACACTAGAGGCTCAAGAGTACTACCTTACATATTCATTTAATTTTATAATGAATCACCTATTGGATAAGTAGGATTCTAGGAACTCTATTGAATTCTATAAAACGTTTAACGATTTTCCGAGATTGTGAATAAGTTACGCGACATATTGACAAATGAGTATATAGAATAATTTGCTTCTAGAATATCTATGACGTAACTGACTACAGATTTTCATGGATTGCACCACCACGTCAACATTCTCAGTGAGTCGTAAAAAGAAACGAGTGGAAGTTGCACCCGAAAATTCAGATAAAGATGATACTGATGAAGAAATTGATTTCAAACGTAACACTTTCTTCGTTATCATGGATTCGATCATCGCGGGAATAAAGAGCAGATTTGCCTCAATAAGAGCAATCAACAACATGTTTTCATTCTTGTAGTTGTTTCCGTAAATGGAAGTAGAAGAAGTTCAGACTGCTGCGCTACGTTTTGCTGAAAAATACCCTGCGGATGTGTCAATCGAAATATCGTGCGAAATCATTCGTTTAAAAAATGTTTATCAGGCTAATTTTGCTGAGAGTAGTACAAATCATTTGTCCCCATTCGATTTGTTGAGCTATCACCACCAAAAATTTAGATACACTGTTTCCAAACATCTACATTGCTCTGTGGATATTTTGCACGTTGCCACTCTCAGTTGCTAGCGCCGAGCGATAATTTAGCGTACTTTCAAGAATAAAGAACTATCATCGTTCTTGTTCAAGCCAATCCCGAGTCTCAGGACTGGCAACGTTATGTTTGGAATCTCAATTAGCTAGAAAACTTGACTTCGGTATTAACATTGAGGAATTTGCATCAGCTAAATCAAGGAAGGCATATTTTTGAGGGTTGCTACCTATTAAAATACTTTTGTGATGCAAACTAAGGTAATAAAATTGTTTAAACAAAAATTGTTCCAGATTACTCATTCATTTTCATTTTTATTTCTAGTTCTATTCTATCTTAATCCCCAACTCGTTGATTTGCAGTGTAAGTACAAATAAACATATTTGTTAGATCATGAAATTAAGGTGTTGGGGGCCCGCATTTGAATTATCCACGGGCCCCGATTTTCTCTCGGCGGCCCTGCTTGAGTTACATCATGAAATACGGCCGAACAATACCGTCTGAGTTCGAAGCTTTTCTTATTTCATTAGTTATGCGATTTCTTTGTTGAATTGTGCCATGTTTCATGGAGAAAAGGAGAAATTTTTAATAGCAGCGCTTTCACGGAAACTTGACTTAAACCTCATACTTAATGAGAATAGTTCTTGGGTTCTATTAGCATCTTTGCTATGATGTGATCGTATCCAGCAAATTTAAAATTTAAGTTCAAAGCCTTCCTCTATACATAACTTTAGTAAACAGAGCCTTCAATTCCCTTAATTTCAACAATCAGACATTTCAGACTCGAAAGGGATATGGACACAATAATCTAACGGAAGTCTTTTTCGTTTTTCACTTTTATTTTTGTTTTGTCAATATTTCGAAAGTTAAGTAAGGTAAAGTAAGTAAGATACCAATTTTCCACAATTTGTCCTTTTCCCAAAAAAGTGGTATAATATTTGTTAATCTAGTCTAAAAGTTCTCTCCTTCTTTACTTGCGTAGACGCCGTTTACCCGAGTTAACAACATTGCGCCATTAACTTTTTCTTTTCGCAGCTTGGCGCCAATTGGAAATATCAAGTACAGTCAAGTCCTCCTCTACCTCGACTTTTCAACGGACTGAAGGGCTCCTCTTCTTCTGCTTTCACCGGCGCGTACCGTTTCGAAAACTTTTAAAGCTTCATGTTCTTATCCATCCGGACCACATGACTTAGCCAGCGCAGCTAGTTCGCGGAACAATGTCAATATCATCGTATACATTGTACAGTTCCATCTGCTGAGGTATCCGACAGAACGAAAAGGAGCTGCCTCTACATCGGAAAAACCTCTCCGCGCCGTTCAATACCAAACGAGTTTTCAGACAAGGGGAACCCTTATCGTGTGACTTCTTTAATTTATAGGTGAAGAAAATAATATGAGCTGCAGAGTAGAATAAGGAAGTGTACAGCTGCTGGCTTATGCCGATGATATTGACATTATTAGCCTCTACAACCAAATCGTAAGTTCTGCTTTCATCAAACTGGATAAGGAGGCAAAATGTATGGTTCTGGTAGAGAACGAGGAAAAGACGGAATATCCCCTGTCATCAAGCAAACAATCATGGCATTCATGAATTGGCTCTCAAATCACTATTGACAGTCATAACTTTCAAGTTGTAAATAATTTCGTCTTAATTGGAACCAGTATTAATACCAACTACAATATCATTCTGGAATATCGACGTCCTCTCTCGACGTTAGGAGTTTCTAAAGGAAAAGTTTTAGGTAAAGGTGCTTTGCGCATTGGCAACGGCGAGTACCTCAGTAGATGGAGCTGGATGATCTGTATAAGACATACAGTCCAGCTTTGAAAGTTTGCGTGAGGAATTGAGGTGATTTACCAACCATTAAAGAAAGAATATATCAATATTTTACTCAATTTTTTTGGAATACTTCAGACATAACTCGCGCAACCATTAATTTTTAACGTACAATTTTTTCGTTTGTTTAAATTGCATCCTGCAATGCTGAATTGGCAATTCAGCAACTCATTGTTATCTGAACAAAACATAGAGAGTTTGATATCGTTAAAGAGTTGGTCTGTGATGAATCTCACCTCAATATAATTTTAAGGCAGCACATGTACTTTTTTATTTATTTATTTTTTAAATTTCATGTACATGAAATGGAATTTTTACTTTAGTCCGAAGGATGTACAGAAGTACCAGTAGGAAAAGGGATAGACCCATGAAAATTTTCGAAATCGAAGGACCAAATCATATAGTCCCTGACAAGCGATTTGTTTAAAAAAAATTATAATAAAGTGAGAAATGGTATTCTACATACTTACATATACAAATATAATATATGTAAATATTGACACTAAAAATCGGAGAACTATATCAAATAGCCCCCATACCACCGATTTGTCAAAAAAATCTTGAAATTTCGTATTCTGAACACATATGTATGTATAATAAATCGGATATTGGAGCTGCAAGTCATCGAAATCGGAGGATTATATCATATCGCTTCCAAACAATTGTTTTTTACGAATAGTAGGTTTTGGATAAAAATTCGGTTCTACACACGTAAGTTCACACTAATATCGACTCTGAAAATCATATATTTGATATGGTCATACAAGGTATAAAAATTCGGGCATTGGCTGAAGACAGCTCTTCTTTCACTTAGGTTCAGCATTTAAACGAAGTATTAAGTTGAAGACTAGCAAAAAAGTCCCCGAAAAACGCCTAAACAAATCAACTTTTACACTTAAATCTAGCCGTTTTCACAATGCTATGAGTAAGAAGTTGTTTTTTTAAATTTCTGAATAAAATAATACGGTAAATAAAGGTACGTTCTATATTTTGTTAATTTGTTTGACAGTTGATTATTTGCTCGAATGACTTCTTTCTGTGTACTATTAAATATTGATTTGGGTAAGTGACGCTTGGGGAACTGTGCATATTAAGAATGAGGCACTCGTATGTTGAATACCTTTCATTTCGTTTGTTTGGTCTGTTTCACAACCCTCATCAGTACTAGTGCTGCACTGAGTGGTCATTTTCGTTGTCTTCAGTCGGGAATCACATTTTTCATTGCAAAATTTCCTTTAAATATTTGCATTACAAATAGTATTGTGTGTAATTTATGCTATACTATGATTACCTGCATTTGGAATCAGTCTGAGATGATTTCGAAGTGCAACCATTATGAGCCTTAAACGTACTTAAAGGGGTACCATCACATTTTAGGGCTGAATTTAATTTACTTGATGAGGAATTGGAGACATCTACTTTCTGTAAGAATTAAAAATTATCTTCCAAAGTATGTATTTTGTTAAAATGGTAATAAACTGGTTTATTTATGGTGTAAGGTTCATTTTTACATTGACTGAGTTAACTGAACAAACTAGCTAAACGAAGTAAACCAAATATCGAAGCGTTGTTGCTATGTTTTTATATTAATTACCACCGAAGAAAAAAAAACAATTCGCGAGAGGACTATATTCGTAGTTTTTAAATTTCAAAAAATTCGTTTCTCGCCTTGGCTGGTCCAAAAATATTTCTAAACTAAAGAGATCAGATGTTGGACTTAAAGTTCATGTAAAATTCGTTTCTAAGAGCCAATAAAAGTCTGATTAGCGTAAAAATACATATATTACAAGCATACTAAAGAGATTTCCTTAGCGCCAGACATTGTACAAAAACAGTTGGGAACCACTTGAAAATTGCTGAGTATACAAAGAAGCTCGACATGAGTTAACGAAAAAAAATCTCGGGGACCGAATCGCTGCTGAGTAGTAACAAAATCGACCCATTTCCGATGCGGATAATATGTAGTAATGAAAAGTGGATCACTTACAGCAACGACAAATGAAAACAGTCGGGATCGAAAGATCGTCGTCCGGAACAAACGGTCTCTAGCTCAGAGTTGACGGCCAGAAAGATTTTGTTGTGTGTTTCGTGGGATTGGATCGTGAAGGGACCAATCTCCCAGAAGCGCCCAGCTTTGGCCAACAGAAAGGGTGTTGTGTTTCATAAGGACAACGCTAAATAGGCGCGAACACAAATGACATATAGAAAGTTGTGAAGTCGTACTTAAAATATCAAATAAAGTTTTCCATAAATCAATTTGGTTATATATTTTTCAAAACGCCATAGCGCTCTGCTTAGAAAGCGGAAAGATCTCTTCGCTGCAGTCGGGGTTTTCTGGTATTTTTGTGAACTTCTTCGTTCTGCTTCTTTCAACTTCAGGCTTAACCAGTAGGACACCAAGATCTTTGTGGATATTTATGTTATGAACGCATCACGATACGCTCGTTATTACCCTCAGTATTTTGGACTAGAACCTCTGTATTATCTGAGTTTTAGTTTCACAGGTCATACCCCACAATTGAATGCCATTCGTCTGAATTGGCTTATAATTGCATTACACTTTTGCTCATTGACGTTTATTCATCAGTTTGCCTGCTTCTCTTCGATATTTCGCGAAGGTGCAAGTTTATATCATTCGGTTTACTGAGATATCTGCACTGTATATGATGTATAATATATACCCAATAACGCTACCTTGAGGAACACCAGCTTCAACTGGAAACTGCTCAGAGATAAATTCCGATTGTTTTACGGTAAACGGTACGGTCAGTTAGACAGATATGACTCAAATATATTGTATAATTGTATATGCAAAGATTTATAAATTTTGTGTATTAGGACCTTTAGGCAAAACCTTGTCGAATGCTTTTTCTACTTCAAGAAATATTGAACTGTAATATCCGAAGCCTTTAATGAAATAAGTAATTCGGCTTACTTGTTCTACAGTACCATGTTTTTCACGAAAACCGAATTGGTGTTCTATATCACTATGTTAAGTTGGAGGAAAGGAGATGTCTTACATATCAGAATTCTTTCGAATTATTTAGATTTGTTTATTCAAGTTTATGCAAGAATACGCCTGTCGGTGATGTTTACTTTTAGAAACAGTATGAATACATAATAAAGGCATTCACACTGGCTTTGTTATTCGGTAACAGTTATTCGGTAGTTTTGTATGGTGACATTTCCCCGAGAAATAAAGTACCAGGCTAGAAAACTTGAAAGTTTTTTGTCATTTGGTAACAGTTAAATCAGCTGTTTATTGAATGTATGTTCTATTGTATGTAAAATTAAAATAAATTTTTGACAATTCTTGATTTTGCCTTTTCTCAAAGCATTTTTACCCTTTAATAAAATTAAATCAGCTGGTTTTGAATAAAAAAAAAAACTCACAACACTACTGAAATAGAGCAAAAAGATGGCAGGTTCTTATGCACCAACCTTATAGTCTGGATTTAGGACCCAGTGATTACCATCTCTTCACGTCTATGGTGAATAACTTGGCTAGTGAAGAACTGGCCTCACGAGAAACCTGCGAAAATCGATTGTACTAATTTTTTGCTAACAAGAAAAACTGTTTTCATCAGAGACATATAATGTAATGACCTTCAAAATGGCAAAAAGTTATCGAGCAGAACGGGGCGCATTTGACATAAATCGGATAATTCTAACTATGGTGAATAAAGCCTTCAATTTAACCAATATTATAGCAAAATTTAGGACAGCTGATGAGACTCTGTCTTTTGGAAATATTTTTGCTCCTAAGCAACGTAAGGATGTATGCATATCCAGAATTCATTCACGTATAAGGAAAAGAAGTCGAGTTGTCTAAAAACTTAAAGATTTTCAGAAATGCATTTCTTTCATTCACATAAAAAATAATTTTTTTGTAAGCACGTTTAATATATTATGTATACGTACATACATATGTTTATAAACCATGCATAAATCGATTTGTTTAGATGTCCTTTAATTTTCATATTTCTCCTAATTGTATTTAATAAACTCCATCCCTAATTTAATCTCTTCCTGAGCAAGTGGCTAGTAACATGTGGTAAATAACAGCCGAGTTAGTTTAATTTGATTTTTAAAACAATATAATTTAAATTACCTCTATGGGTAGGGGGCTCTCTTGCAGTGTCTGAAAAAGTTTCGCAGCTTCCGCCGACATTTTAAAATGAAAGTTCGGTTTATTATTTGGTCCGTTTGAAGATGAATCGAAACTGGTCGAGCTTGGAATTTTTTTCACCAATGAAGTACTTTTTTTAGATTCAATCGTGGCATTGGCTTCAATTTCTCTGTCGCTATTACTATAGGTGTTAGATTCGGCAATAGCAGTGGCCTTTAAAGAAGTTAAAATTTTATTAAACTTTTATTTATTGCTTCTAATAATATAATATATAAATAATAATATTATATGTATTAGAACTAAACGAATTAGGGACCATCCACGTTAGACGAAATGCGCTTATGGATGTTATTCTCCAGTGTTTAGTCTTGCATACATATTTCTCTCTTCATCTCTTCAGTGGTTGCAAGATTAAGAGCAATAATTTTTTGTGAACTTATGTCGGCGCAATAATGGAATTTAAGAGCCCGGAATGAGTTTAACCCATCCTTGCCGTTACATTATATGATTAAAGCCTTTAATTCGTTTATGTCTTTATCTGAACAGTTTAGCTAAAGATAAATACTTAAAAATTTAATAAAAAAGCAAATGGAAAATTACTTGTTGTAAAAGCGTGCGGCAATCGTCAGTACTTTGTTTTATTATGCACTCTCTTAGGTTTTGATGGAGTGGCTGAGTTCCCTCGTTGACCATGTTTGGCATCGGTAATAAGCCATTCATATGCTCTTTCGATAACTTTTTCTCCTGTCGGCATTTCTCATTAACAGTTGATAACTTATTGTCTGTACTATAAGTCGTTGCCATTGGTTGCTGGCTCGAACTTACTATATTAGGTCTGCTCAACCGAGCCATCTTTAAAGACATCGGTCGAAGTTTTGTTGTTGAAGAGTTTATTTGAGCATGTTCATATTTTTCAAGTGCCATTGAACTAAGATTCTTACTATTATCGTAGACTTGTGAAGTTTCACAGTTGTTAACGCCCTTTTGAGTAAACTTTTTTGGGAAACTACCGAAGTTTACTTCATCCGAGCTTGGCAGTGGTGATATTGTCTTTTCTTTTATTGTATTATAGTTTTGCTTAACTCGCTGTTGGTCATTAGAATGTTTAGCTGTAATCAAGAGTTTAGATGAACCATGATTGATCGTTGATGGAATACGTGGCAGTGTATTGTCTGATAAGCGCTTTGGACATTCTTGAATACTTTTACTACTGCTTAATCGATCTTGAAGCAGCAAATATATCGCAGCTACATGATCATAGCTGTTTTTCTTTAAACTTGCTTTAGTCTTTTCGTGTGATATACTAGTATATTCACTCATTAGTTTAAGGATGTCAGAGTTCGGTTCAATACTTGAAGTTCCATCCATATTTACGTTGCATTGTGTTATGAAACAAGTGTCACGTCCTTCTCCGCAAACCCAACGGTGATTTTTAATTTGTTCAATTGTGTATCGTCGCAATGGCTCAAGCACCAGCATTCTTCGAATTAAATGTTCACATTCTACAGTATAAAAAAGACTTTAGTTAGTTTTGAAAGATATTTAAGCAAAATTCAATAAGTGACTACCTGAAGACATAAAAAATGGAATCCTGAATCGTCCAGAAAGTACTCGATCCCTTAAACTTTGTAAGGTGGATCCATCAAAGGGCAGTGCGCCACATACAAGCACGTAAAGGACCACACCAAGTGACCATATATCAATCTCTGGGCCGGTGTATTGCTTGCCTTCAAATACTTCAGGTGCTGCATAAGGAGGTGAACCACACCAAGTTGCTAATAACTCTCCTGCTTTAAAATGGTTAGAGAACCCGAAGTCCGCAATTTTTATATTCATATTAATATCAAGTAGAAGATTTTCAGCCTAGTAAGGGACATATAACAATTATTTGATTGATACCCAATATACACATAACATACATACCTTTAAATCTCTATGTACAATGTGTTTCATATGGCAATATTCTACCGCTGACAAGATCTGCCTAAATTTGATCCTTGCAGAATTCTCCGTCATTCTTCCAAATTTCGCTATGTAATCTAATAACATAAGATATAAAATTTTTTAAATATGGGCCTACTGTTGCTGCAAAACAGGTATCTTGTTCTATAAAAGGAAAATCAAATTTTAAACGAAAGTAGTTAACACAGCTGTAAATCCGCCCAAACACTTGCCTCTTCAAGAAATGTTGTAGAAAATTGAAAATTGCAATGTCCAATTGATAAAGGATATTCAAAGTACTTACGAACATAACGCGAATGATACACTCTTTTTTGAGTGATGCGTAGGCTTTCAACAACAGACCCCGTACTGTCAAGTATGTACTGGGTAGTACAACCTGAATTTAACCCCCCTTTCATTTTTAATTTAATTTTAATGTTTTATGTTTTTCATAGGCATACACGTTGTGCTACAATTAGTCAGAATTTTCATCATAATCAAATAGAATGGCAGTGTGGAAAAGGAAATGGAAGGAAACGTGCCCATTTCGCACAGGTTCACATTGAGAAATCACCCCTAAATTATATTCCATAAAAATATTTTATGATACTATGACGACCAATAAAACGCAAAGTGAATCATTGGAAGACCACTACACGTGCGAGGTGGGATGCGTTAGAATGAAAACCTTGCTCGATGCGGTAACTTACAGAAGGTTTCAAGACCGGGACAAACTCTTGCAGGACCCAGGCCAACTATTGACCAGATCTTCACCGTGAGCCAAATCTTGGGAAATTTCCTTTGATAAGAAGATCGACACACCCTAACCCTTCGAATTTTAAAGCACCTTTCGATAGAACGAAAATGAGTTATCTTCACGCTGTCTGAATTCGGTATCCCCCAAAACTTATACTGCCGTGTAAACGGGTATTAAGAAACACCACAAATTTCCACTAAGATCAGGAAGGACCTTCGTTATAAAACCAGGTTTCAGACAAGGTGACTCCTTATTGTGGGCCTTCTTAAATTTAATGCTGGAGAAAATAATATGAACTGCAAAGCTGAATAGAGATGGTACAAACTTTTATACGAGTGTACAGCTGCTGGCGTACGCCGATGATAAGGGCATTATTGACCCCAATAACCACGCCACGAGTTCAGCTTTTTCCAGACTGGATAAAGAAACGAAAGATAGGGAACGAGGGCAAGACGAAATTTCTCTTGTCATCGCACAAACAGTCATCGCTTTTGCGACTCGGCTTCCACGTCACTGTTGACCGCCATAACTTCGAGTTCGTAGATAACATCGTCTATGTTGGAACCAGTATTAACACCAACGGCAATGTCACCCAGGAAATTCAACGCAGAATCACATTTGCCAACAAGTACTACTTTGGACTTACTCAGTACTCAGACTGTAAAAGTACAGTCCTCTCTCGATTAACGAATACCAAACTCTACCAACCATACATCGTTCCCGTCCTGCTACATGGCGCGGAGGCATGGACGATGACAACATCTGAGGTGTTTTCGAGAGAAAAGGGTTTGCGTAAGATTTATCGTCATCTACACGTTGGCAAAGGCAACACTGAATTAACTATAGTATGTATGTGTGTACTTACCAAAAATTTCTCCTTGACTGGCATACTCGGATACTATATAAATCATATTTTTTGTTTCCATCACCTGAAAATAAATATAAACAATTATATATGTATGTGATTGTATATAAATATACAATATGAATATAGGTAGGAAGATATGTTTGTAAAATATAAAGCAAAAACACATCTTGGATAACATTGAATCATAACGGTAAAAGAAGAAACCACAAAAAATCACCCAAACAAAATTCATCAATACTTCCAAATGCCGAACTCATGCTGCCTATCAATGAGACCCCTTAAATTCTCTTATCAACTGTGTAAGGATTATTATTTACAATTTCAAACTTACAGAAGGGCAGAATGTGACTAAAGAATGTTCATGAGGCGCGGCAAACTACTTAAATGCAAGAGAAAATAAAAATGTGTTAAAAACAAATAAATAAAAAAAATTATTAAACATTTTCAATTTTTTTTTACGATCGTTGCCCTAAAAGCGTTTAATGAGATTATACCAAGTTGCTCTCACTTGCTCTCTAGTTTTTTGACAGCGGCTCTACTCTAATTTCAGTCTCAATAAACAAAAAATTTGCTCATAATTCATCTTTCCTTCCTAATAGATTTTATTCTTTTTGTTTTGAAAATGAATATTCTTCTTCTATCTTTAAAGAACATAAAATTCTAAAATAACTTTGGTCCGTAATTTTTAAGGGCGGGTCCCTTCTCTTTGTCTGCATGTTAAAATGGAATCTCTAATTTTCTGAGATATTTCAAGGAAATTACTTTAGTTTATTTTATATTTGTCGTAACCAGGAAATTCGAACGGCTTTATTATAATTGACGAACGCGATAGACGAGTGGTTAGCGTTGCGTACTTCCATTCGGAAGGCCAGGGTTTGAATTCTGGTTCGGTCAACATCCAAAAGTTATAGAAAATTAATTTAAATTAAGAATTAAGGTGGGAATCTTTAAATTTATTAAATTATATTTTGTATTGAGTGCGCGCAGTAGAATACAATAGAATACAAGGAGCCAACTTCGTTATATTGTATATTCAGTGGGCGGGATTTGATATTATATAATACAAAAAATATTTTATTTCTTTCAAAAATGTTTATCTATGTAAATATTGGTAAAATTTCTTTTACCAAAGAAAACGCAAATTACTCAAAATCTGTTTTTGATTTTATGTACTGACGCCATCGCCGTCTCATATTTGGCCACTTTTTTATTAAAACATTGCGAAAAAACTAGCGAAAAATAAGCTACGGTGCCAGGTTTTGAAGTGTAATCGATGCCGATATCCGATGAGTTGGCAACGGCGAGCAGCGCAACCGATGGAACGATGAGCTGTACGAGATATACGGTGATATAGTTCAACAAATAAAGAAACGGAAAGGATGAAAGCGCTCCAGGAAAGTTGACAACCTTCACTCCGTTAGAAAGATCCGGTGGAGAGCGACTGGTTACTACTGTTATTTCCAATTAGTGCCAAATAATGAAAAGAACAAAAATTACGCGCTGTTGAAGTTCCTACCGCAATGAATAGGAAAATGTTGGATTTTGGGTTTTTTTCTTTTAACCCCTTAACTGTTTAATTATGCTTCGAATAACATTTTCGTACTGCTAATTATTAAAAATATAAACAGAGTAAAATATTTCTGTCTACAAAAGCAATATTTGAATAAATAAATAAAAAAAATAGGTATTTATGATTCAAAATCAAACGTTGCGTTTTAGTTTTTTAGAAAATATATTTTTTTATTCGTTGTTAAAACGGAAATTATATAAATGGTGTTTAGGGATGAGAAATTGTTTATTCGATGGTACTGAAAAATAGGCAAATGACATTAAAGATAATCCGTAAAATGCTTAAAATACAGAAATTAAATATTTATAGTATTTAATTTCATTTGAACTGCCAGAAAATATTCAATATTTCTTAATATGGTGTTAAACTTTGAGAGTTTCCATATATTCATAATGCGCATGTACTCGCATTTACATCACTGAATGCATTTAGAAAATCCCCCTTAAAACCAGGATTCAAGTATTTCAAAAGGTAGTTCCACTTTGAAAGTTTTGGCCCTAAACGCCTTTGTTCAGGGCTGCTGGATCATGCCAGTTATAAGATTTGGAGCTTGGAGATCGCCAGCTTACTTTAAGCTGACTTTTAATTATAGTATAATATATTTTAGCTATTATTCTACATTTAGAAGTTTGCCTGAAATTACTAACTAGAATTTCACTAGGGCTTTTCCGTTGGCCATTCACGATAGTACCACTTCTACTTCTACTTTGTAACACTCAACTCAACCCGGTAAGATGATTATTCTGTGTAGCTATTTTCTCTGTTATTCGATAAGCTATGTGTATTGTGTAGAGCTCATATGAAGTCGGCTACGAAGAAAGAGTTAGATTACCCTTAAACTATCGTATCATGCGTGAAACTGTTATACACATTTCCATTTACATTCATTACCTTACCTGATAAAGTTTAATGATGTGTGGATGATTCAACCGTTTCATTATTTCGACCTCTCGATAAACTTTTTGTAAATTTATTGAATCCAACTGACTTTTGTCGATAATTTTTATTGCGACCTAAAATAGAAATGTGAGTGTTTTTAATCATAAAAGTTTTTAAAATAAGTACCAGTTTTATTAAAAACAGTAAAATTAAAATATATTGAAAAGTATTCAATGCAAATACCAATGCAAACCAGTGGTTTAACACCAAAGAGCGCACTATATTTCCTGCAGCAACACAAAAACTAAGAGGCAAAATATTTACGCCGCTTTGTTATGAATAACCCCAAATTGGGTCCAAGGATGCAACCGCAATACCAAGCCTTCCCCGGTCTATTTATAGGAGCGTAGCTCCAACTCGCTTGCATAGCTCTTAGCGAATCTTATCAAGAGGCTGTTACAATCTTCTTCTTCTGTATTGACGTAGACAACGCTTAGATTTATGGAAACCAAAAACTTAAATAGGAATTTAGTATTTGCTGAAACCAGTACTCGTCTCCTTACAGTTGGAAGTCAGTATCATATTCCCCTTATAACATCCAGAACTAATTGGGTGGGACATTAAAAATACACTGGCGGTCACATACAAACTAATTCCGAAATGGAGAATAAACCTGACAAAATACTTGTATTCAAAAGAATTCTAGCAACCCCTGAGCAGAAAAGACACCTAAACCCGGAAAAATCTAACTAGTAACAGAGAAAGTTAAATGTTAGAAACAAACGATTGGCAGAAAAGTGTTAAGTGGCGTAAAAACACGACGAAGAAACCACAATGAAAAAATCTCGCAATGTTTCCGCTAAAAAATCGCTTTCCATAGCTAGCAAAAATCACTTCCATGCCATATTTATATAATTGGTGATTTGTAACCGCTGAAGCAAGTTTCGGCCAAGCTCCTCAACTAACTTGCTGTATGCGCTATGAGGTTTACCAAGAAATGGAGGTGACTACAGTTTATTCTGAGCCTCCTCCTGATAGTTGATGGGTTTTATGAGCAACTTTTTTATTTCATAACAGAAGTACACTCGGAGGACTTGACATTTCATGCTGAGGGTCGAACCAGGACACATGCCATATTTAAACTATGATGTTATACACAAACTCGAACAAAGTCGCTGATAAGCTGTAAGCTGTAAGAACGATGAGTAAGGTGAAACAACCTCTTCTTTTAATGCGACTTTCTTAATATTCGCATCATCAGAGAAATGGGAGAAATAGTCGGACAAAAGTACATAACAAAACTGTGTAGTCTTTCGAAGCATTTGGCTAGCACCATGACCTCCTTCTTGCTAATGGGGTATAATGTTTTAGTTCAGTTATGGCAAATGATATTATCACTTATTGTTGGGATTCATTTTAAGGGTGTATATTATATATAAATATCTCCCTTCCGCTTTTTTGCTCTTCATTCAATGCTTTATAAAAAGTGTTACAGTGATCGGATTTAGTTAAAATATGCGCCGTTTTGTTCGAAGATCTGTGTCAATCTAGACGGCAACAACGGCCCCCCTCCTTATTTGCGAAGAATTCGGACAGCCACTTTTCACAAGCCTCTTTTGAGTTCAACTTCACACCACCAAGGGCATTCGCCATGGACAGGAACAGGTGGTAATCACTTGGCGCTACGACCGGGCTATATGATGGATGCGATAAAACCTCCCTTCCGAACTCCCGTAGCTTCTGACGAGTCATGAACGAAGTGTGTGGTCTGGCGTTGTCCTGGTGGAACACTACACCCTTCCTGTTGGCCAAATCTGGACGCTTCTGGTCGATCGCCTGCTTCAAGCGGTCCAGTTGTTCGCAGTAGAATTAAGCGGTAGAATTAAGCGTCTGGCCATATGGTAGCAGCTCATAGTGGATGATTCCCTTCCAATCCCACCAAACACACAGCAAAACCTTCCTGGCCGTCAATCCCGGCTTGGCCACTGTTTGGGACGATTCACCGGCCTTCGACCACGAGCGTTTTCGCTTGATATTGTCGTATGTGATCCATTTTTCGTCGCCAGTCACAATCCGCTTCAAGAATGGGTCGAGTTCGTTCCGTTTCAGCAGCATATCGCAGGCGTTGATTCGGTCCAGAAGGTTTTTTTGAGTCAAATTATGCGGCAGCCAAACATCAAACTTTTTTTGTATCCAGCCTTCTGCAGATGGTTCAAAATGGTTTGGTGGCTAACTCCCATCTCCTGGGCGATGTCACGAGATGCCATATGCCGGTCTAACTCGATGTACTCCATGATTTTATCGGTATTTGTCGTCACAGGTCTTCCGCCGGCTGGCTTATCCATGGTGTCGTTTTCACCGGCTCTGAATCGTCGAAACCATTCCTGCGCGGTTCGAAGTGATAGAGTACCATCCCCAAAACACCATTAATCTCACGGAACGTTTCTCCAGCGGATTTGCCTTTAACGGCATTTCGACGTTAGTGAACTCCATCCTTACATGTCTATAACTGCATAGCGTTGTTTTTTTACGAAGAGCTTTTATTTCATGTCAGAAATACGCTCGGAGGGGTTGACATTCCCTGCCGAGTGGCAACCCTACCCTTCCGGCAGTACGCAATGCTAACCACTCGGCTACCGCGGCCGATCATCATAGAGAGTAGATTCAATATATATAATATATAATATAATACATAAAATATTAAAGCTAGAGTTAAATTTTAGATGGCTTGTAGAATGAAGCGATGTTGTGGTAGGAGTAGCGGCTATGTTAACCCCGCTTGGGGACAGGTCGGAATGATCCCTTCAGAAGTGCGCGATGTGTTCTCATGGCCTCTGAAGATCGCCGCGATATGATCATAATATACAACCAAAATAAATCAAATGAAATTCAACCAAACAAAATATAAACCAAACAATAATTTTTGATAACTTGAGTTCGCTGACGTAGTAATTTATCATTCTTGTAGAGAGTGGAAAAATTTACTAAGCTAATTTTCACTTTTTATTAAAAAAAAAACTAAACTATACGAAAAATGTATGTAGTTTTTCTTTACCTCAGTTTTAGTTATTCTATGGCGTGCAAGCTTAACAACAGCAAAATTGCCTTTCCCGATCGTCCTTTCAATGTCATAAAATCCAACTCGTATGGTTTCCTTTGCCTTCAGAGTACCTTTTGACGAGGCCAACGAATTTAAAGTTACTAAATCGGAAGAGCCATCTTGAAGGGCAGATTTTGGTTTTTCTAGTGACTCATTTGTCTTTTCAAACGAGTTCGAACTCGAATGCTTGTCCTTAGCTGACGCCTCCCTAAGCGTTGCCCTCTCTAAAATAGATTAAAAGAAACACAATTTTCAACAATGTAAAAACTAACACTAAACAATTGTTTACCAATAATTCTTAATACCTTATTTTTTAAATAAATATTTATATATATTTAATTTTAATTTTAATATATTTTTGTTTTTCAATAAAACTGGTTTTATTTCCATTAGCTTGCAGAAAAAAAACAACAAGAAATTTTTTGTGATAAAATTTTACTTGTCTTATTTTCGAATAAAGGTGAGAGCAGGAAGACAAAAACAGCAATTACCGTGTATTTTGTTTTTGTTTTCAGTTTAAATTGCCAAAATCATGGCAAGTTCATACGATTCGCTTTTGTAGAATTGAATCAATAATTCAAAACAAAATTCAGAAAAGAAGAAAAACAAAAAATGAAATTGATGTCGCTTGCTTAAAAATTAAATGCTAATTTAAATGGCATTAGAAATAGAGTAGTTTTCTTTTAGTGAGTGTTTTCTTATTAGCTCCTTCTTTGGAAGACTAGTTGATGGGACGATTTTAAGAGATTACAAGAATCACCGCACTTCTTTAGTTTTTGTAACTAACCCTGTGTTGGTAGTTGCAGTATATATACATACACATGTAATTGATTGTAATTATTATTTATAGTGTTGGGAGAATTATATTTAACTATAATATCATATGAACGTAATTTTCTTTTCAAAAAATGGTCTATGCATACTAAGCGCCTTTTTCAAATTTCGTTGGCAAGAACGTCGAATCAAGAGAGGTGTAGATTCTTATCTTGTGGATCTTGGAAAAAATATAGATCCCCCCGTTCTGCACAAGTACATACAAAACATAACGGACTGCTTCGACAATCTCTTCAAGCAAGATTCTCAAACAGGAACGAATGGGAAAAGACAAACTCCCTTGACCAAGGAGACAAAACCATCTTAACATACAGCTCAAAGCTCCTTAAAAAGCGGTCCCTTAATAAACATGAGCCTAAAATTAACAAGCCACTGCAGCATCTTCCAAGCAGAACTGTTTGCGATCATGGTACGGTAACATGACTATCAAGTACGATATATTCCGATAGTTCAGATCTGTACAGGGTAACAGTATCACATCAAAAGTGTCTATAAAAAGAAGCAACCAGAACAAACTTTCGGCTAAATGCAATACTGCCGTGGTCTGGATAGCCAGACAGCTATACCAGAATTGGACGCTAAAAAATCTGAACATATTATCCTTCTAGACCGGTTATCCATTAGCATAACTACGGGTGTAATAACAGATAATCGTTCAATGATTGTTCAAGCGAAAACAGGCTATTACTCCAATGATTGTGGCAGCCTAGAAAGAGTCCATTGAACAATGCGACTTCTTTCACTGGCTCGCTAAGCTGGCCTGAGCGAGAATTGCTAATCTCGTTGCTTTTAATAGACACGCGAAATGGCTCGAACATATGAGAAGGTACAGGTAAGAGAGCCTCATAGCGGTATCCATCTATTGGCCTAAAGGCGTTGATTAAAGCCGTATCAACTCAGCTTAGCAACGGTGCATATTTTTAATTTGAGAAAATTTTAGAAATTCAAATTAAATGTAAACAAATTAAAGCAACAAAAAATTAAAAATAAAATCGTAGTTTTTTATACATATAAACCTTTTTAATGTGCCGTGTGCGAAACAGGAAGTCAAGTTGGCCGATTCAGCGTCTCGAAAATTTCGAACTTCTTGAGTCGTTCAGCAATGAACGACGATATCTAATCTAAGTATTGTAATATTTCTGCAACTGCAAACCATTTTCGAAATCGGAGGAAAAAGCTGCGGAAATTAGTTGCACTATCCATTCGATATTTTTTGTTTTGGTAGCAAATTATAACAAAAAGCTCTTAAACTTTTTATGATAAGCATAAAAGTAAATACTTTAATCCTGAAATATGTATAATGAAAGTATTCCAAAGATTTGTCTTCTTCTGCTATATTAACAGATGCACAAATCACTATCTTGTCGTACAATCACACACTGAGCTAAGATCAATATACACACGTTCGAGTTTCAATCTGTGCTCATAACAAAAAAGTATAAGAGTATATCTATAATACTCGTTGCTACTGGGTTGTGAACAAGATAGCTGCAGATACTTCTCAGATGGTTCATCCGTTGAGTCCAATTTTCGAATACTCTTTCGAGGATTTCGACTGGTAACTGTTTTGCTCCAAGAACTGAATCTAAGCGGGATCGTCTGTATAGACTTTAGACTTTACATACAGGAAAAAGTCTAGCGGTGTGATATCACACGATCGTGGTGAGTAATCGACTGGCCCAAAACGTGAAATTATCTGCTCACCGACATGTTTTCTCAATAAATCCATTTATTGAATCGGGAAGTGGTTCGCTTTTGTTGAAAGCAAGCGTCGCCCTGATCACGAGCTTCAACTGACGGTTAGGTACTCTTCGGCATCATTTTTGAAGAACACAAAAAAATTTTGTTTTTTTCTGGATAAAGTGGCAGTTTTTGAATGTCTTCAGGTTGCTATTCGTCCGAAATGCGCCAATTCTTCTTGTTTACATACCCATTGAGGCAGAAGCGAGTCTCATCGCTGAACAAAATTTGACTCGAAAACGTCGAATCTTCTTGGAACTTTTCAAGAACCTATAGAATGAAACGATATCGCTTGGGAAGCAGATTCAGTTTCTGCACAAGTTTTATTTCGTACTCTTTCAATTTCTCGATATAAAATACGCCAAGTCATTCCATACGTCAGTCCGAATTGCTGCAAATGGCGCCGAATCTACTCTCTACATTCTGCGATGATGACACGCTCAGTAGGCCGACTATGTTGACCATAAGTTGAGCGAAGCGCGTCAAACACATCATTTACAGAACATGAATTTTCGTAATAAAGTTGAACGATTTGTAAACGTTGTTCAAGCGTAAGTCTTTCCATGATGAAATGCCAAACAATACTTAACAAATATATGACAGCTTGACACGACTAACTTGAAAGCAGTACTTCTACTTGGATCACCCGTTACTACTTCTTACCGTAATGGTGTTCTTTGCCATTCTCAACATCCTTGGATTGTTTTAAAATACTAGAATTCGGCTCCTCCTCCAAAGAAGATGATGGTTCTCCTGGTTGCTCCGTGCTCTCATTATTGCTCATGGTTACTCAATGCAAATAATTGGTCGTCATGATGAGTCTGCAATAATTAAAATATGTTACAAATGGGCAATAAATACTTAGTACGTTATATTTTTAATTTATTGCTGTAAACGTTCTTTTAGCCGTACTTTATACAATGGAATGCAGTCTTAATATACATATATATATAAAATTAGATAAGACGAGATTAAGTAAGTTACTGATTAAACCCATATAACGAATATCGAAAAGGAAACTTACTTCAGAGAAGTGATTAGAATGAAGAAATAATCAGCGTAAGTTGCTTATGAAATTAGGAATGGATTTTTGCCCGGAGTTTAATAAACAGTCTATAATCTCTACAGATTTCTTGCACAATTCTAATTTTAAACCAGCTAACATTCATGTCTCTTGGATGTTCTCGAATTGTAATTAGATGCTAATTAAGTTACACAATTAATAAAAGACAGTAAGAAAAATGCAATCTAGATCTTTTCAACTGATTTCTATATGTTTAATGTTTCTGTTTTTAAATTTATACAGTTATAAATATCATTACTTCCCAAATGAAGAAGGTTTTGTGTGAGATACAACTACTCTATGTGATCACGCCTGGGTGTCGGAAAATATTTTTTGCACACACAAAAAAACGTTTTTTAGAATTGCTAAAAATATCCCAGCTGCACATTTGAGCAATTGGTTGACATAAACGATTTTTTTTTTACTAATTTTTTAATATAACCCACTTTTGCTTTGATTACTGGTTGAATAATGCGGGAAGTCAATCAGTTCACAACGTTTTCTTCAAATTTTTTGCCGCCCATCTTTTCTTAGACGGTTTATTTTTGTTTCGTCTGACCATATGACTCCCATCCTATCATTTCGGGTGTAGGTTTTATATCTTTATGCGAATTGGAGCTTCAATTTACGGTGTCGATTTGTCAAGGTTGGTGCAATTTTTTTCTGATAACTTCCTTTGTTACATTTATTTCATTTCTTCATTTTTGGTTGCATTTAGTTTTTTCATCTATGATGAAGCTAAATTTACGAAATTTCAAAAAATCATATTTGAAAATACTAACGTTTTACGAATTACGAAAAACTCGAATCTAACGATTTCACCACTATTAGTTATATAATAAAAAGGAATACTTGAATAGCAAAACCATATTAAGTCGACTGATACTTCTCTACTTCACAAAGTCAACTAATTGATCTAATGCCTTTGTCTACATTCGTAAATATTCTCTGGCGAGTAACGGCATACTTCCATAATTCATAATTTCAAACTGGCTAACTGACATTTCTACCTACAATTTCCGAATCATTGCGTACTGCCATGATCTTCCCAGAAAGAAGGAAAGTCTTCCTGATAATCTAAACAAAAAGCCACTAAATATAACCATAAATATGATTTGTTCGAATAGATCAGTTCCTGTGTCACTTCCTGATGGAGAAGATAATTCTTCCTTCTAATCGAGTAAAAATGCCACCTTAGTAACGAACTTAAAGTAAAATGACCCACAGCAACGATTTTTTTTCGAATAGGTCGACACCTGGCTCAGTTCCCAGAGAGAAAAATAGCTCTCCTGCTCTTCTAAAATAAAAATCCTCGCCCGTACCGAATTTCAAGTTAACCATTCTATGAGGCGAATATAAATTTTAATTTCTCAAATATTTCGTTCTCTAGTTCACACCCCTTCTTACTTCTCCGCATTTACTTCATTTTCGGCAATATGGAAAAGTTTGGGCATTCCGGCCTTCACTTGTAAGCTCAATATAAGAAAGTTATTCGCTAAGGGTGCTAATTTAAGATGGAAAGGTCTCAATGCATTTAATGTGGCCAAAGATATTATGGCCAGAATGGAACGGAAGAAGGTCACTTGACCTAAACGAGTTAAAAAGGAAAATGTATCTACAGTTACAGGACTTCTTACAGGGTATATATTATTGTGCAGGCACGCAGAGATTTTGGGCTTGCCATCTAACGATTTCTGCAGAAGTTGCAAAGAAGAAGAATATTCTGGAACCTTTAGACACTTACTCTGCGAATGCCCCGCACTTTGGTACATTAAAGTCTCTAGGGGCGGCGAACTTTAGAGACCTGAAATAGTGGGGGCCAAGATACGGCGACTGCTCAGTTTTGGAAACTCCACACACTGGCTTAATTAGCGGGTGGGAGTCATTAAGATCCTCAGTGGCCCCGCTTGGGGCCTAGGTGAGCTGATGCCTAGCAACCACTTCAACCAACCAACAATGGAGTTCGAAATAAAGAATTAAAATTTTATAATTGGTGATAAATGGACTTTCGTACGAGCTCCTCCTCCGATTTGTGGTACACGGCGTAATGTTTTCCCAACAAATGGAGAGAAAATGGAGCCTATAGATTTCTTCGAGAAGCTTTTAATACACCCGGAGGGCTTGATATGATCAGAATTTGTTATAATGCAAAAATCCAGATCTGTGTGTGCATGTTTCAAGTTTCTACTGTATAGTGAGAAAAAGGATCCACAATGCCCGATTGAAAATTCTACAACGGCATATTCAGACTTTTTGCTTATAGCTCACTAGGTTCATATCATTTCAAATATTTTACGCTAACTTAATTGAATATTGTTATCCACATACATATACATGCATAGCCACAATGTAATACCTTTTTTAAATACGTTCTTTTTTAATAATAAATCTCTGTTTATTAAAGTTACATCGTCTGATCATCAAAATATAAGGCAAATAGTTAATAAATGTTCAATAGAGCTGCTTGTTGAGAATCTGCCCTGAAATAAGGGATCTGCGTCCCAGTATCATGATAACGACTACAAGAAAAAAGTCCGTCTTTACATTAGCAATACCCCTGTTTTGAAGAAAGATGCAGTGCTAGCCTTATTCCGGTTCCTCCGCAGTTCTTCCGCAGTTCTTACTCATTACACAATATTATATTATTGGTAGGCAAATATTTCGCAAAAAACATAAAATAACAGAAACTAACCAACCCCAATTCATTCACAATTAAGCCATCGATATGAAACATTCTCTCGCCGTTTTGCTTTGATAAGATAATTATCGATGAACAGAACACGTCACTTCTAAGGGGTTCCCCAAATTTATTACTTAAAAATTAGTTCATTTAATAGGGACATCAACATATTTTGGTGCAATATGTGATATACGTATATATTTATTAAAAAAAAAAAACTGTTACGGACTGATAAAATGTGTGAAAAATCAATATAACAAAACGAAAGCTTGTTGAGCAGCTCACAAATTTCTTACAAAACATATCATAATCGCGATAGATGAGGGATAATTACGTCTTCCTAATCCTCTACTGATGCATTCTTATCTGTTTAATTTCACATATTTTTATAAAGTGCCAATACATCTCTTATTGACTCAACTTCAATATACATATGTATATATCTATGAATGTATGTAAAAATTTGGCACTATATACGTATGACCATTTATATGAAAATATTACATACCGGATTAGGTACGGCCCTAATCTAATATTTACTGTCCCATAATTTTTAAGAATTTTATTAATAATAATTTTAAAATCGTAGTTAGACTTAACGAACAGCGAAAACGATATTATGTATCACACAGAATTGATGTTTGACAGGCAGAATAGAGGCAACGACATTTAACCCCTGTATAAGTAGTCATGCGCAAAGTGTACGTCAGGTAGCTTTACCCTGAATTCAAATTGTAAGCAAATAACGTTTAATATAACAGTTAATATTATATTTTGTATTATTGCCATGTTCTCCATGGCTGGCCAAAAAACACCATGCGTTATAAATACATATGTATATATTGTACATAACCATCAGTTTTAAGAAAATAATTATTTTCAAATACCGGACATTCTGAAATAATTATGATTTGAATTCGAAACCAAAACGGTTTTTATTGAAAGAAATATTTACAATACTTTGCATTTTGTCATTAAATCTATTTAATTATGTTGGTGTTGTAAAAAGAAATCCCATATGTTTGCATGAAATTGAAGGCTTTAATGTTTATTCTTCGTATCCAGGCTTATTCAAATGGTTCCAAACGATGGTTTGTAATCTTTAGCACGCCCAATTCTGCGGCTTTTTGCTATTTTAACTGACGCAGTATCCTTGTGTGTTGCAGGCTAAGATGTGCTGCGCTGCTGTGGACGCATTACCGTAAAGTTGGGGCGATTGCGTAAGGCTTGCCAACGATGATACAGCCAACAAAGAGTGTCTGTCTTCGGCGCAAGAGGAACTGCCTCGCGCCTTGCCATTGTTGTCCATGCCTAAAAATAGAAAGAAAAAACAAACGGAAGAAGCGCCACCTGCAGCATAAAAATCAGTTTTTCATGATTAAGAGGGAGATTTCTCTTCATTATTTGCTTCGAGCGAAGATTACTCAAGTGGAATGAAGCACAGATTTACCATGGCCTGTGTGATAATCACTTTTTGCGTGCGGAACTTTTTTTTATTCATCCTTCCAAGCCACTCGGCCGGCGGGATATTATCATCTCGGTCTATGATCCAGCTGCCAGCTTGAAGCTCTATCTGGAGAGATTTCCACAATTGAACTTTCCTTAAGAAATTTGAGCAACTGTGCGCTTTCAGTCCACTCCGGATTCCGTCTTTTACTATAAGACCAGTTTCTGCATGGGGAAACAGTGTGTATAGGAAAACTTAGCGTATTCCGGTGATGATTGGGTGCCGCTAATTATAGCTGGGTGTGACATGCGCCATTGAAACAAAGAAGTCCATTTTGATCCAGAAGCTACCTTTACGCTACGGCGATAGCAATCTTGCTATTTACTTCGATTAAACGCCTTTATTTTACGCTTTTGTAGCGTAAAAGTACTGCGCGCCTTTGAATTAAGCAAAGAGTCAATGTGGTGTAAAAGCCACTTTGGTCCGTGCCACCAGAGTGTATTGGTGGCTAAGTTCTCGGACTTACAACTACGTGAGCCGGTATCAACGTGGTTATCATCGCCTACAACAAGACGCCACACTCCACATTGGATATATTTTCGAATTTGGGAGTTGCGATTTCACGTGTATGTCTTCCATTTGACCGGCGGTCAAAAAATTTTGCGAACGGCGAGTTAAATTTTCGTTTTGTAAAGTTATTAGCATGATATTGGGTTGGAGTTAGGAACCCGTATATAAAAAAACATTTAAGGTATTACCTGAACTTGATTCTTCGTTGAAAGCCACTTGCACTTTACCCTGACTTTGTATGGCTTTGAAATCGCATGGTTTGGCAAATATAACGATTGGCACTTGCCATTGGAAATGATTTCTCGTGGGTGCGGTGAGTTCAATGTATATATTATTGCAACACATCGTTATAAATTTCTTTTGAAGCGTCCATTCCGTGCTGTGGAAGTGCTGAAATGCGGCTGACCGGGAATGAAGGGATGAGTTTGTCTGGAACTGTTCCCAGGATTGTCTCAGTTGAGCACTGACCGTTTTATTAGGCGGGTATTAACGATGCATTTTCGATCACATCAAAATATGTCTCTTTTTGCGCAAATAAATTGTCGCAAACTTCCTACAGTCCCTGTTACTGCGATTAGTCAGTTTTTGTTAGTATTCACGGCTCATTGCAATGGTCGGACGAACCTTTGTTAACTTAGGGTGGGCTTTGATTCCGAAAGTGATAGTGCTATTTCATGAAATTTTGGTAGTTGGTTGATTTAAATTTTGACTTTGTTGTATCCCTAAGTAGATCGAAGTTATCGTTATTCAAAAGACATTGTTTTGACAGTAGCAAAAGCTTTACCTTAGGTGTAATCCGAGGGTGCTATAATTTTTGGACACGGGAGTGTTTCGGGTGATTAATATACACAACAAGTATCTATGTCGCAGGGCAAACTTGTCGGAAAAAACAGAAGACCTTTTTTGCTTCGAGGGATGGTGGACCCGAAGCTTTGACTATTCTCAATATTATAGCATTTCATAAACGTTAAGGCATGCATGACTCTGAATTTATCAAGCAAGCTGTCATCCATTTTGGAAGAAACGTTAAAGTGTCTAGACTTTTGTTTTTGAATTCAAGATGCGATCAGTATGCACAGTATCTTATTATGTTGCCAGATTCGACTATACATTTTTGCGCACAGGGCTCGTATGCTATGGTTTATGAGCCTGTTTGAGTTCCCTCTATGCACTTGCGGAATCAAGAGAAATAGTTTCCGCGGTATTCTATTGGTACGGGAGATTTTAGCAGCTTTTTTTCTGGCTCTTGGGATTTCTCGTGACTTTGTCCAATTAGTAATTGAAGGATTTTAATTACTTTTGAGTTATATGTATGCGTATGCGTTGTTTCTCGAAATCAGAGTTTAATCATCTTAGATTAACTTTGAAATTGAAAAAAATTCTTGTTAAATAAAACAAAATTTTCTTAAAATTGTTAAAGCTGTAATGAAAAATCAAACACGGTTGCACTGAAAATAGCTGAAGAAATAGATGTGGAAATATATGTACATGCTCGTGGATTCAGAATCAAAAATTTATAGAAAATTAATTTAATAAAAAAATAAGTTAAATTTTCTATTGTAATTGTGAGAGCCGGCTTAGTACAAATTATAGGTCTCTCCATTTGTTGGTAAAACATCAAGACGCAAAATCACGAGTTGGAGGTGGGGCTAAGCCGAAAATTGCTTTCTCAAAAAGGTCTAAGATTAGTGTAAAAAATTCTTTACATGAATTTGTCGGCAAGATTTTCCGGAAGGATGAGTGAAACACGAAAATGAGTTTGAAATTCTTTTTTTATGTAAGCCGGCCACATTTACTTAACATTTATATAGAGTTTGTTCGATTCTGTTTAAATAAAAACCAGGCAACGGCTTTATTTCTCCTTCTAAAAGCTACTAATGTTTCATTTTGTGCATCGCCGTCGCTTTCGGAAGCTTAAGATTGCATTATCGTCACTGTGACGGGGCAATGTTTTGCTGCTCATTTAGTCGACACTGCTTTCTAGTAAATTTAAGGAACTCAAAATGAAAAAATAATATATACGAATTCTTTGCCTACAAAATGCCTAATTCCTAATTCTTCGACGAGGGCTCGGTGGTATGCGGGCGATGGTTCTACTCCACTGCCACCACATTCTCATTTAATGAGTGCCTTAACTTTTCAATTGAATCGTGAGTACAAACAAATTTGCTTTCTCTAAATTATATTTTTACACTTAGTATAGTATATTATTTATATTAAAGTGATAATATTATTTCAATTCTAAATCAATTCTGTTTTGTTGACAAAAATTCAATCAAATTATCCCAAATCAGCTGTTTTTCATATTTCCTGTCTTTACCAACTAAACGTCAAAATTGCGCTCTCTGCTTAACAAATTTTTTTTGAGTTACTGGCTCAACGAACACGATTCAGTAAAGTTTGGTAAAAATTGTTATTGCCCACCTGATCAACGTTTAGGATTACAATCTATCGTTTGTTTCAGCTGATGAATTTGTTTGTCTGTAGCTGAGCCGTTTTGAATATCGACGCTTAACAAACTCCTGTTTTTCATGACTCGGCGAATTCCGTCATGCGGACGGCGATTCTCGTGTGAGTTGGACGGGAGGAGGGCTTTTTAATATTAAAGAAAATGCCGATGATTATTTCGATTATAAAAGAGAAATCAAGCGAAGATTACCTTAGTGAAGAAATGTGGGTGTCTCAAAATTAAAGCCAGCATTTAGTCTTCAGATTTTGATTTTTCATTGAATCATAAAATACGTACACATCTTGCTGTAAATTTGGAACACCCTGTAGAAGGAAAAATGTTAGTAAAAAAAGGGATCATTTTAGGGATAGGGATTTGAATGGTTTTGAAAATAATGTCGAAGTAAATAAGACATAAAAACAAGCATGTCAGGTAAACGCTAAAGCAAGGTCCGAAGAAGATATTAGAATGTAGAATAGATATACAGAATAGGAAAAAAATCAACTGAGGAGAAAAAAATAGCAGGGGAAAGAAGTCAGCTTAAGCGTAGATATAAAAAGCTTCAAGTTAAGGGGAAAAATCGCTCTAGGATTTTGGAAAACGCAATTTTTTTGTTTTTGCTTACAGGGTATATTCGGGTCCCAGAAATGATATGCAATTGGTTTTAAGGTGAAAAAATATTTCAAATAGCTGAACTTTTTATTTTGCACCCTATCGCATAGTTTTAACTGAAATTTCGATGGTAGCTTCACAAATATTTTTTTTTTTTGGACGTACATATCCGCTTTTCGATTAAATGAAAACTTTTCTTTTAAACAATTTAGTGCGTATTTTTTTGGAAAGAATCAATTTTTAAAAAAATGTGCCGCTTTCACAAAAATTAGTTAAAAAAACAAATCCGTACGTACTTCCAAAGACCATAGGATATAGACCGTAAAACTTTTTGCTCTTCTGTTCCAGGTCTCATCCTTTGGAAGAAATCGGTCATCCAATGGGCGTCTTTCAAACAAACAAAAAACAAAATAATAATTAAAGAATATTTATATTTCAATATATGTTCATCCTCTGGAGTGGCTTTACCCCTTAAGAAAATGTTGATAATAAAATAATTATCATAATTATAATATTGGGTTGCCCAAAAAGTAATTGCGGAT